ATCGTTGTCGGTGATCAGGCATACCACTGTTGTGTCGTCTGCAAACTTAATGATGGTGTTGGAGTCGTGCCTGGCCATGCAGTCATGGGTGAACAGGGAGTACAGGAGGGGACTGAGCACGCACCCCTGAGGGGCTCCCGTGTTGAGGATCAGCGTGGCAGATGTGTTGTTACCTACCCTATTAAATCAAAGCTGGTAAGCGGGTGTCAGTGTTGAGTCAGAATCGGCAGTCCTTTTATAAAGTGTGAAAGCATTTGAATTGACATGCAGTTGATGTTCTTGATTTTGACTACAGAAAATCAAATGTGCATTGACAGCTAACTGGGCTTGAATGAATAGGGCCCTAGACTGTTGGGTCATCATGGCCCATTAGACTCACTGTGGTGATTTCATCTGTGGTTCCTCATCGGCCGTGTTCAAATTCTCTCAATGGCTTCCTTTCCTTGTCTACTCTCCTTCCTGGCCACTAGTAAATGAAAGGATTGGATAGGTATTCATTATATACCATACGTTCACCATTCAAGTCAAGAGACTTATGACAAGGACATTCATCCATATCAGACTGAGGGGACACAGCTTTTGTGTTGTGAAATGCATGTACTGTCAACACCATGTGTACAGAAGTCATGTGAGTAAACATTTAGTTTGTTATATTGTCAATGTTTATTCCATTTAGAGGCATAATGTGTTTATGCGTATACAGTATGTAGAGGTCAGTATTGTGTTTTGGATCAAGATGTATCTTTGGCATCTGTCTTTGGTGTCAATGGTCAGCTCTGTTCTGCATTGCCCATTGGAAAAGACAATACTTTAGAATAATTGCTGTGATGATGTAGTCACAACATAACTCCATCCCCAAAAGCAATCCACCCCAATGATGGCGATAGTCCAATAGGTTTTCCCCTTTAACCTGTTTCATAAGACTGAAGAATGTCCACACCAAGGGATGATTTGAAAAGACATGGGAGAATTGATGACTGATTGCTGGTAAATGCATCGGAACACAGTTTGATAATGGCTATCAATCATAAGGTTTTCAATGTGTTTACCCGCAAAAGTGCCATTATTTTAATTGTATTTTCATTTCTCCTCAATGTTGCTGCGCTGAAAACTGCATAACAGCATTGATGTCAATGCCCAAGGTACTGTTTTTTGTGTTGAATGTCGCTTATGTGCATATCGTAGTAAGTTTACAGCTTCTGCGTCAATTGTGCCTGTTGCTGTGAATTAACCTTCAGGCCAAAGTGTCGTTCTGTGGTGTCATTAGGCCTAAACTCCACGTAGTGCCTCATTGAAATGCTTCTAGAACCTTGGTAGTATTACCTGTGTGTCAAAATGTTTAAAATAATATGTACTATAATAATAATACTATAATAATACTCCTGCTGGTGCAGTGATTGAATATCTTAATCTAGGCATTTCTAGACCATTTTGAGCTAATGTGCCTCTAGATGACTTATGTTGACAATTCTGTATTTTGATTTTGTTTGCCGCAATAGAAGGTATTTTATGTTTATTTTTACAAAGTCTTAATGGAAGTTAAATGTTAAAATGAATAAATACTGTATGTATATTTTTGCAGACAAAAGCTGTTTTTAGTTTTAACTGTAAATTGCACTAAATGTATTGTTTACAGCTGCTTTTAGGTGATAAGATTAACAGTAAACAATGTTGAAATAACTAAATAAAAAAGATATGTTCAAATAACTAAAGATATATGAAAAGATACCGTTTAACAACTATGTGTCCATTTAAAATAAAATGTAGAAATGGGACATTTATGTAATATCTACCTGAGTTTTTATTGTAGTTGGGTGTCATGTCTGAAACTGATAATACAATGCAAAAACTGGTAGCACATTTTTATGGTACTGAAATCACCAGGTATTTTACATTTCATTAAGTAAAGCATCATTTGATGATAGTAGCACATTTTAAAGGCCCAGTGCAGTCAAAATGATGTTTTCCTGTGTTTTGTATCATGTACAACAGCTGATGAAACTAACACTGTAAAAGTGTGCAGAAATGTGATCAGTGTTATTTCCTGATAGTTGTTGGTTGAAAATACAATTTACACAGGACCTTTTAATCAGGTTTTGAATGGGTGACGTTTTGGCTTGCCTGGTGACATCACCAGGCGGAATAAGTTAATAGACCAATAACAGAGTTCAAATCTCTCTGCCAACAACCGCTAGTTTTCAGGTTATACACTGATTGTACAAAATATTAGGAACACCGGCTCTTTTCCTTATGTAACCGGTGCTGTACTGCATGGCTGTATCTCTGCGATGTGTGTGATTGATTGGGACTATAGATGTGGAATTCGGAGATCAGGCTGTTTGAATTAATCAGAATTCTCTCTGCATCCAAAAGAAAAGACAAAACATTTGTAGAGCACAAATATGTTCTGCCCATTGTCGCCTCTTTCTCTCATAGTGCATCAAAATGATTTTCTAGAATACAAAAATTAGTACAGCCTCTCCTTATAATGTATCAACACATAACATACATTTTACATAGATAAAACCACATACCTGCATCCAAAAAAAGACAAAATATTTATAGAGCACAAATATGTTCTGCCCATTGTCGCCTCTTTCTAAAAATAGAACTGTTTGGCCATAATGACCATCGTTATGTTTGGAGGAAAAAGGGGGTTGTTTGCAAGCTGAAGAACACCATCCCAACCGTGAAGCACGGGGGTGGCAGCATCATGCTGTGGGGGTGCTTTGCTGCAGGAGGGACTGGTGCACTTCACAAAATAGATGGCATCATGAGTAAGGAAAATTATGTGGATATATTGAAGCAACATCTCAAAACATCAGTCAGGAAGTTAAAGCTTGGTCGCAAATTGGTCTTCCAAATGGACAATACCCCAAGCATACTTCCAAAGTTGTGGCAAAATGGCTTAAGAACAACAAAGTCAAGGTATGTCTCCCGAGTGGCGCAGTGGTGTAAGGCACTGCATCTCAGTGCTAGGTGTGCCACTAGAGATCCTGGTTCAAATCCAGACTCTGTCGTAGCTGACCGGGAGACCCATGGGGTGGCGCACAATTAGCCAGTGTCGTCCAGGTTAGGGGAGGGAATGGCCAGCAGGGATGTAGCTCAGTTGGTAGAGCATGGCGTTTGCAACGCCAGGGTTGTGGGTTCGATTCCCACGGGGGGCCAGTATGAAAATGTATGCACTCACTTAACTGTAAGTCGCTCTGGATAAGAGCGTCTGCTAAATGACTAAAATGTAAATGTAATGGAGTGGCCATCACAAAGCCCTGACCTCAATCCTATAAACATTTGTGGGCAGAACTGAAAAAGCGTGTGTGAGCAAGGAGGCCTACAAACCTGACTCAGTTACACCAGCTCTGTCAGGAGGAATGGGCCAAAATTCACCCAACTTATTGTGAGAAGCTTGTGGAAGGCTACCCGAAACGTTTGACCCAAGTTAAACAATTTTAAAGGCAATGCTACCAAATACTAATTGAGTGTATGTAAACTTCTGACCTACTGGGAATGTGATGAAATAAATAAAATCTGTAATAAATCATTCTCTCTACTATTATTCTGACATTTCACATTCTTAAAATAAAGTGGTGATCCTAACTGACCTAAGACAGGGAATTTTAACTAGGATTAAATGTCAGGAATTGTGAAAAACTGAGTTTAAATGTATTTGGCTAAGGTGTATGTAAACTTCCAACTTCAACTGTAAGTACACACTCCCCTATTCCCAGGATGCAGGCACGCATAATAACAAATCAACATGCTATATTGAGTGTATGTAAACATTTGCAGAATGTTTGCCAAAATCCATCTCGTTCAATGTTCTCCCACTGCCGGCCAGTGGGCTTCCTCTCACTACCATATTTGGTAGTGAGTGGAAACACTAAGCGGATGCTTCACATTTATACACCCGGTGAAATATCTGGGAACTGTCTCATTGTTCTATATGTGGCTCCGCGATGGCAGAGTGTATTTAATCTGCCCTCTCATTGGCTAGAATGGTCCCACCTGATCTCGCCTGCCTTCAGTCATTGAGGACATGTATTTCCATTGTTAGAGCGGCGACTCGGCTATCTCGTCAATATAATAGATTATCTTTGCACGGGTTTATGTTGCCTTTGTCGGTCTAGTTGTGAGCAAACATATCCCAGCTTTGGCCAGCAGGGGGCAGGTGCTGCAAAGACCTTCACAAGCCTACGTCACTGGGAATTTCCAGTGGGGAAGTCACGTTTCTGAACAATTGGATGTTGCTGTCTTTTGTTGCCAGCAAGCACTGACATATTTCATCCTCGTTTACTGATGCAAAATTATTAAGCTAAAAGTGTTGTATAATATGAAAGTTTGACGATAGATACTGTCACTGTTTTGATTCGGTCAAATCAGTTCACCAAAGTATGGCACACTAATGTGCAAAACTCGACTCCTCTGATTGGATTGGGACTGCAATTGTCGAACTTTCATGTGGATGTAGGAATCGCATGTGACCTAGGTAAGTGTTGGCTACAATATTTCAATTTAATTATATGAGTAATTATAATAAGTAACCAATTTTAAGTTTATTGTTATAACTTTGCTAGCTAGTCAAGTTCACTTCCTCATTGTCAAATTAGCTAGCTATATGCATGCTAGCCACAAACAAAAAACTGAAGTTGAGTAGTAAGCTAGCTAGTTAGTTAGATCAGAGCAAACGGACGGTTGGCTTTGTCTTTTATTTTGTTACTATGGTGCTCTTGAAAAATTGACTTAAGAGAGAGTGCTGTTTTAGCTAATTTATTTTGATACTTGTGTTTTAGTTAGCTAACTGGCTAGCTTGTTAGATAAGTGGTTTATGCACAGCATGCCAGTAGCAAATCCAAATGTCACGAGAGCAGGGCACATTTGAAATTGGTTCAGATGCAGGAAATCACTCAATCTTTAATTCCGGTAAGCATATGTACACTAAACTGCTTGAATGTTTTATAAGTCAATACTTTTCTCAAGGTCTTTGTCTTCTCTCAGACACCATGGCAGAAGAGGATGCTTACCTGGCTCACCCACAGGTAGGCTAGGTGTTTCATGTCCATGCTATGTCTACACTGGATCTCTGTATTTGTCATATATACATTGTAGGCTATATTGTTTGTCACAAAGTTTGAAGCAGAAATCTATAGATTTTTTAAAACACTTAAGAACAACATCATTATAAAAGTAGAGGTGTGGCTAAAGATGTACAGTGCCTTCAGAAAGTATTCACACCCCTTGACTTTTTCAAAATGTTGTTGTTACAAAGTGGGATTAAAATGGATTTAATTGTCAAAGACAATTAAAAGTTTTTCTTTTTTATTAATGGAAAATAATACAAATACACCCATCTAGTACTTGGTTGGGCCCCCCTTTGCCTCGAGAACACCCTGAATTCTTTGGGGCATGGATTCTACAAGGTGTGGCATTCAAACGTTGCTCAATTGTTATCAATGGACCAAATGTGTGCCAGGAAAACATTCCCCACGCCATTACACCACCGTCACCAGCATCTATCGTTGACACCAGGCAGGATGGGGCCACCACAAACAGGCAAATAACAGTGCAGTACAACAGTGGTGTGCAGAACGGCATCTCGGAACGCACAACTCGTGGGTCCTTGTCACAGATGGGCTATTGCAGCAGACAACCACACCGGGTTTCACTCCTGTCAGCTAAAAACAAGAAGAACCCGGTGTGGGTGTCTGCTGCAATAGCCCATCCGTGACAAGGACCGACAGTTGTGCACTACGAGATGCCGTTCTGCACCCCACTGTTGTACTGCGCCGTTATTTGCCTGTTTATGGCCCGTCTGTTAGCTTGCACGATTCTTGCCATTCTCCTTCGACCGCTCAAATCAACGAGCTGTTTTCACCCACAGGACTGCCGCTGACTGGATGTTTTTTTGTTTGTCGCACCATTCTCAGTAAACCCTAGACACTGTCGTGCGGAAAAAGCCCAGGAGGCCGGCCGTTTCTGAGATACTGGAACTGTCGCGCCTGGCACCGACGATCATACCACGCTCAGTCGCTTAGGTCACTCGTTTTGCCCATTCTAACATTCAATCGAACAGTAATTGGATGCCTGTCTGCCTGCTTTATATAGCAAGCCACGGACACGTGATTCACTGTCTGTAGGAGCGAACCATTTTCGTGAACGGGGTGGTGTACCTAATAAACAGGCAACTGAGTCTAACTTGATTATATACAGTGCATTCGGAAAGTATTCAGACCCCTTGACTTTTTCCACATTTTGTTACTTTACAGCCTTATTCTAAAATTGATTAAATTGTTTTTCAATCTACACATAATACCCGCATAATGACAAAGTAAAAACAGGTTTTTAGAAATTACGTGCAAATGCATAAAAAATAAAAAACTGATATCACATTTTACATAAGTAGTTAGACCCTTTACCCAGTACTTTGTTGAAGCAACTTTGGCAGCGATTACAGCCTTGAGTCTTCTTGGGTATGACGCTACAAGCTTGGCACACCTGTATTTGGGGAGTTTCTCCCATTCTTCTATGCAGATTCTCTCAAGCTCTATCAGGTTGGATGGGGAGCAAAGCTGCACAGCTATTTTCAGGTCTCTCCAGAGATGTTCGATCGGGTTCAAGTCCGGGCTCTGGCTGGGCCACTAAAGGACATTCAGAGACTTAACCCGAAGCCACTTCTGCGTTGTATTGGCTGTGTGCTTAGTGTCGTTGTCCTGTTGGAATGTGAACCTTTGCCCCAGTTTTAGGTCCTGAGCGCTCTGTAGCAGTTTTTTTATCAAGGATCCCTCTGTACTTTGCGCCGTTCATTTCCCCCTCAATCCTGACTAGTCTCCCAGTCCCAGCTGCTGAAAAACATCCCCACAGCATGATGCTGCCACCACCATGCTTCACCACGGGGTTGATGCCAGGTTTCCTCCAGACGTGACGCTTGCCATTCAGGCCAAAGAGTTCAATCTTGGTTTCATCAGACCAGAGAATCTTGTTTAGGTGCCTTTTGGCAAACTCCAAGCGGGCTGTCATGTGCCTTTCACTGAGGAGTGGCTTCCGTCTGGCCACTCTACCATAAAGGCCTGATTGGTGGAGTGCTACAGAGATGGTTGTCCTTCTGGAAGGTTCTCCCATCCCCACAGAGTTACTCTAGAGCTCTGTCATAGTGACCATCAAGTTCTTGGTCACCTCCCTGACCAAGCCCTTCTCCCCCAATTGCTCAGCTTGCCCGGGCAGCCAGCTCTAGGAAGAGTCTTGGTGGTTCCAAACTTCTTGCATTTAAGAATGATGGAGGCCACTGTGTTCTTGGGGACCTTCAATGCTGCAGAAATGTTTTGGTATCCTTCCCCAGATCTGTGCTTCGACACAATCCTGTCTCGGAGCTCTACGTCAATTCCTTCGACCTCATGGCTTGGTTTTTGCTCTGACATGCACTGTCAACTGTGGGACACACAATCAAGTCTATATGAAAATTGCTAAAAAGCAACAAATTGGAAGTTTTGGAATGGCCTAGTCAAAGTCCAGACCTAATCCCAATTAAGATGTTGTGGCAGGACTTGAAATGAGCAGTTCATGCTTGAAAACCCACACGTCACTGAGTTAAAGCAGTTCTGCATGGAAGAGTGGGCCAAAATTCCTCCACAGCGACGTGAGAGACTGATCAACAACTACAGAAAGCATTTGGTTGGAGTCATTGCAGCTAAAGGTGGCACAACCAGTTATTGAGTGTAAGGGGGCAATTACTTTTTCACACAGGGGAATTGGGTGTTGCATAACTTTGTTTATGAAATAAATATGTAATTGTTGTGTTATTTGTTCACTTATGTTCCCTTTATCTAATATTAGGTTTTGGTTGAAGATCTGATAATATTCAGTATCACAAATATGCAAAAGTAGAGAAAATTAGAAAGGGGGCAAATACTTTTTCATAGTACTGTATATGATGGTGTGTATAGACAATATGCACAGTAAATGAATAGAAAATGTGTGTACCCAGTGTATACAGTTGAAGTCGGAAGTTTACATACACTTAGGTTGGCGTCATTAAACTCGTTTTTCAACCACTCCACAAATTTCTACTTTGCGCATGACACAAGTCATTTTTCCAACAATTGTTTACAGACAGATTATTTCACGTATAATTCACTATATCACAATTCCAGTGGGTCAGAAGTTTACATACACTAAGTTGACTGTGCCTTTTTAAACAGCTTGGAAAATTCCAGAAAATGATTTCATGGTTTTAGAAGCTTCTGATAGGCTAATTGACATCAATTGGAGGTGGACCTGTGGATGTATTTCAAGACCTACCTTCAAACTCTGTAGCTCTTTGCTTGACATCATGGGAAAATCCAAAGAAATCAGCCAAGACCTCAGGAAAAAAATAGTAGACCTCCTCAAGTCTGGTTCATCCTTGGGAGCAATTTCCAAACGTCTGAAGGTACCACGTTCATCTGTACGAACAATAGTATGCAAGTATAAACACCATGGGACCACGCAGCCGTCATACCGCTCAGGAAGGAGACGCATTAGACGCATTCTGTCTCCTAGAGATGAACGTACTTTGGTGCGAAAAGTGCAAATCAATCCCAGAACAACAGCAAAGGACCTTGTGAAGATGCTGGAGGAAACGGGTACAAAAGTATCTATATCCACAGTAAAACAAGTCCTATATCGACATAACCTGAAAGGCCACGCAAGGAAGAAGCCACTGCTCCAAAACCGCCATAAAAAATCCAGACTACGGTTTGCAACTGCACATGGGGACATGGATCATACTTTTTGGAGAAATGTCCTCTGGTCTGATGAAACAAAAATAGAACTGTTTGGCCATAATGACCATCGTTATGTTTGGAGGAAAAAGAGGTGACTTGCAAGCCGAAGAACACCATCCCAACCGTGAAGCACGGGGTGGCAGCATCATGCTGTGGGGGTGCTTTGCTGCAGGAGGGACTGGTGCACTTCACAAAATAGATGGCATCATGAGGAAGGAATATTATGTGGATATATTGAAGCAACATCTCAAGACATCAGTCAGGAAGTTAAAGCTTGGTCGCAAATGGGTCTTCCAAATGGACAATGACCCCAAGCATACTTCCAAAGTTGTGGCAAAATGGCTTAAGGACAGCAAAGTCATGGTATTGGAGTGGCCATCACAAAGCCCTGACCTCAATCCTATAGAAAATGTGTGGGCAGAACTGAAAAGGCGTGTGCGTGCAAGGAGGCCTACAAACCTGACTCAGTTACACCAGCTCTGTCAGGAGGAATGGGCCAAAATTCACCCAACTTATTGTGGGAAGCTTGTGGAATGCTACCCAAAACGTTTGACCCAAGTTAAATAATTTAAAGGCAATGCTACCAAATACTAATTGAGTGTATGTAAACTTCTGACCCACTGGGAATGTGATGAAAGAAATAAAAGCTGAAATAAATCATTCTCTCTACTATTATTCTGACATTTCACATTCTTAAAATAAAGTGGTGATCCTAACTAACCTAAGACAGGGAATGTTTACTAGGATTACATGGCAGGAATTGTGAAAAACGGAGTTTAAATGTATTTGGCTAAGGTGTATGTAAACTTCCGACTTCAACTGTACATATGAAGTGGGTAAAACAGTATTAAAGTGACCAGTGTTCAATTACTCTTTGTGGTTAAATCTGTGCTTGAAATTCACTGCACGACTTAGGGACCTAACAGAGAATTGTATGTGTGGGGTACAGAGATGGGGTAGTCATTTAAAAATAATGTTAAACACTATTATTGCACACAGAGTGAGTCCATGCAATTTATTATGTGACTTGTTAAGCAACTTTTTACTCCTGAACTTATTTAGGCTTGCCATAACAAAAGGGTTGAATACTTATTGACTCAAGGCATTTAATTTAAAATTAATTTGTAAACATTTCTAAAAACATAATTCCACGGGGTATTGTGTGTAGATCAGTGACACAAAATCTAAATGTAATCCATTTTAAATTCAGGCTGTAACACAACAAAATGAGGAAAAAGTTGAGGGGTGTGAATACTTTCTGAAGGCACTGTAACTTCAGCTGACAGGTTTGCCTGTGTCTCTTTCATAGATGCTAGTTGTACCCCTACATTTGTCAGTGAAAAAATATGTCAATAACCTTGTCCTCTCTTGTTTTCTTTTCTTGTAGTACTTTGACATAGAGCCACTATGGGATCCTCTGAATTTCCCTCCCATGTCACTCACCAACTCACTCCGGACAGGTAAGAAGAAGGAATGACTTCATGGCACAGCATAATCTTTTATCTGGCCTATAAACCCCTTTAAATAAACCATTTTATAAATTCCTTTAAATAAACCCCTTTATATAAACATTGCTCATCCATATATGTATTAATATATTCTTAATTATATTACTTTACTTAGATTTGTGTGTATTAGGTATATTTTGTGAAATTGTTAGATATTACTTGTTAGATATACTGCACTCTCGGAGCTAGAAACACAAGCATTTTGCTACACCCGCAATAACATCTGCTAAACACGTGTATGTGACCAATACAATTTGATTTTGATTTAAAGAAACCCCATTAAAGGTACTGAACAGTCATTCTGAAAAGTACTTTTTCTCTCATGGCTAACTACCAGGAAATTTGAAAAGACTGGCTGAGTGGGTGGGGAGCTTATATTATTGAGCTTGTCTTGACTGACAGCTCTTTGAAACGCCTATGTCAAGCAACTTGGATGCTGTGAGAAGTGTTGCAGTAAAATATTCTCAAGCAAATTTGGTGATACACAATGCAACTCAAACAACATTGAAATTGCATCAATGGTATACAGTGTGTGTATATGTGTATACAGTTCATTCGTAAAGTATTCAGACCCTTGACTTTCTATACCTTTTGTTACGTTTATAGCCTTATTCTAAAATGGATTAAATTGTTTGTTTTTTCTTAATCAATCTACACACAATACCCCATAATGACAAAGCAAAAACAGGTTTTTAGAAATTGTAGCAAATTTATATAAATAAAATAAATAAATAAATAAGAAATCTCACATTTACATAAGTATTCAGACCCTTTACTCAGTACTTTGTTGAAGCATCTTGGCAGCGATTACAGCCTCAATTCTTCTTGGGTATGACGCTACAAGCTTGGCACACCTGTATTTGGGGAGTTTCTCCCATTCTTCTGTCAGGTTGGATGGGGAGCAACGCTGCACAGCTATTTTCAGGTCTCTCCATAGATGTTTGATCGGGTTCAAGTCCGGGCTCTGGCTGGGCCACTAAAGGACATTGAGACTTGTCCCGAAGCCACTCCTGCGTTGTCTTGGCTGTGTGCTTAGGTTCGTTGTCCCGTTGGAAGGTGAACCTTCGCCCCAGTCTGAGGTCCTGAGCACTCTGGAGCAGGTTTTCATCAAGGATCTCTCAGTACTTTGCTCCGTTCATCTTACCCTCGATCCTGACTAGTCTCCCAGTCCCTGCCGCTGAAAAACATCCCCACCACCACCACCATGCTTCACCGTAGGGATGGTATTGGCTAGGTGATGAGCGGTGCCTGGTTTCCTCCAGATGTGACGCTTGGCATTCAGGCCAAAGAGTTCATTCTTGGTTTCATCAGACCAGATAATCTTGTTTCTCATGTTCTGAGAGTCCTTTGGCAAACTCCAAGCGGGCTGTCATGTTCCTTTTACTGAGGAGTGGCTTCGGTCTGCCCACTCTACCATAAAGGCCTGATTGGTGGAGTGCTGCAGAAATGGTTGTCTTTTCTAGAAGGTTCTCCCATCTCCACAGAGGAACTCTGGAGCGCTGTCAGAGTGATCCAACGGGGTTCTTGGTCACCTCCCTGACCAAGGCCCTATCCCCTGATTTGCTCAGTTAGGCCGGGTGGCCAGCTCTAGGAAGAGTCTTGGTGGTTCCAAACTTCTTCCATTGAAGAATGATGGAGGCCACTGTGTTTTTGGGGACCTTCAATGCTGCAAAAATGTTTAGGTACCCTTCCCCAGATCTGTGCCTCGACACGATCCTGTCTCTGAGCTTTACGGATTCCTTCAACCTCATGGCTTGGTTTTTGCTCTGACATGCATTGTAAACTGTGGGACCTTATATAGACAGGTGTGTGCCTTTCCAAATCATGTCCAATCAATTGAATTTACAACAGGTGGACTCCAATTAAGTTGTAGAAACATCTCAAGGATGATCAATGGAAACAGGATGCACCTGAGCTCAATTTCGAGTCTCCTAGACATTTCTAAAAACCTGTTTTTGCTTTGTCATTATAGGGTATAGTGTGTAGATTGATTAGAAAGCCCCCCCAATTTAATCAATTTTAGAATAAGGCTGTAACGTAACAAAATATGGAAAAAGTGAAGGGGTCTGAATACGTTCTGAATGCACTGTAGGTATTTTTCCAAAATATAGATTAAATAGGTATATCTAAATATGTAATTTCATGAATGCCAGTGGTAGCCTAAAATTGGAGAGCGCTTTCATGGTCAAGAGTAAGCTCTTCCTCGCCACCACCTTTTTATGAAAAGGTAGTTAAAAAATAACTCAGTTTCATGATGTCATGATATTACAGAGTTCTAATGTAGACATGAGCCTACTTCTCCTTCTGTCTAACTTTCACTTCTCCATTTGTCTCGGGGGCTGTTTTAAAACCAAGGTTTAAGCGAGACTAGTGGTTGTTTAGGCAAGACTAATGGGAATATATGGGAACTACTACTTTCTCCGGGGGATACTCATCTCTTTACCACAAATGGCATATTCAAGAGCAGTCTTGATGAATGGACATACCCCACAATCTCGTATGTTGATGCTCATTACTTCATTAATCTTACAAGTATGGATATAGCCATCCTGTGAGGGCAATGCGCCATTCTTAGAGCTGAAGGAAAATTTTGAATTTCAATGTCCGGATGAAGGTCGTCTGTTCTATAGAGAGCTGATGCCGAGTATAATTTGGCAGATAAGGTTGATTGAGGTTACATCGGTGGGAGGATGTGGCTTAGGCAGCAGGCCCTGCATTAGGCAGGAAGGGGAAGAGGCTGGCTCCGCAAACAATTGTTTGAGGAGCAAGATGAGACGACTATCACAAGGGTTTTTGTCATATTTGGTAAAAGGCTCAAAACATTGTTTTGTTGACATGGAACTAGATAGCCCAGGCCCCCATTCCTAAAAAGCCATACCTTTTGTTTGTTAGTTTTGTTTATCTGATTCAAAATACATCCTCTACCACAGCACCTCAGCTCAATTCAAGATGTTTGTTAAGAAGAGGGATGGCCCTAGAGAGCTACTGGTTGTTCAGGGTTTTGTTCCAGCCTTGCTCTAACACACCTGCTTTTGCTAATCAATGTCCTCATTGGCCGCTGATTAGTTAGTAGAATCAGGTGTGTTAGAGCAGAGCTGGAGCAAAAACCTTCACACCCAATACAGTAGGAGGAGGGGGAGCCAGTCCTGCTGTAAAACTAACGTAAACCATTGTTTATTTGTTCTTAATTACAGCAGATGGACCTTACCTCCAAATCATTGAACAGCCTAAACAGGTAACCCTTTCCTTCAGTGTGCTCCTTCTCTTAGTTACAGCATAGGCTATGTAAATTTAACCAAATTTCAAAGGGATATTAAAAACGGTTTATTTGAGTATCATTCATGTCTGTTCCAGCGGGGCTTCAGGTTCCGTTATGGCTGTGAGGGGCCCTCTCACGGCGGGCTCCCAGGGGCCTCCAGCGAGAAGAACAGGAAGTCCTATCCCCAGGTCAAGGTAAGTCTCACCCATAGAGAATGATAGAGGCCTCTAGTGCCCAAAAGGCTGTATTGGCATGGGCAGCGCCATTGAGGGTAGAGGTCTTCACCTTTTGGACCCGTTTCGAAATGGACCTGGGACTTTCCCACCCAGACCCAATATGCATAAATAAAAATAAAAACATTTAGAGACCCGTTCCGAACGGACCTGAAGACAACTAGACCCGTTCCGTATAGACCTGGTCGGATGCAGACCCGGTCCGATCCGAGTGAGGGAAGCATCAGAAAAGTAATTTAAGCTACTTTATTAACCGGCGCTGATAAAATGCGAGTGTGAGCGAGTGACACGTTGAGTAGGAAGAGACAGCAACCAACCAAGCCAACTCACGCTATAGTAGACTAATAGCTGCCATAGCTAGGTTATTTATCATCAAATATGATTACATAGCACCTGTCTTGACTGCATCAAACCGGGGGAAGCTAGTTAAGCTAGCTAACGTTAGCTAGCTAGGCTAACTGAGACTGCAGTGCATGCGCTTTCTCATCCTACAGTTACAAATAACAACTCCATTCGGAATATTAAGTAGCCTACCTGTTGGCTCTTGGTCGTTGTAGCCTATCCTTCTCCTTTAACTTTTAATTCTGTCATTTTAATTCCATTTTCCATTGATTAGATATCGCCTAACTTGTGCCACACACTGAGCGAGGCTCTATGACTGTAGCCTATTGCCACTTTGATGACTTAAGATTGGCAAACAACAAGCTACACGTGCCACGCTCCACTCTCGTGAAAAGCAAGAGCAGCGGCATAAAGGATAAAATGTCTCTCTCTCTCTCTCTACTGCAGCAGTCGCGTTTGGATCTGTACGGGCCTTTCCGGACAAGTCAGTTAAAATTAAACATATCAGATCCGACCCAGACCTGTGACATTATTTAGAAATCTTTTTTTTTTTACCCCCCTTTTCTCCCAATTTTCGTGATATCCTTGTCTCATCGCTGCAATTCCCCAACGGGCTCGGGAGAGGCGAAGGAACGAGTCATGCATCCTCCTAAACCTGACCCGCCAAACCGCGTTCCTTAACACCTGCACGCTTAACCCGGAAGCCAGCCGCACCAATGTGTCGGAGGAAACACCGTTCAACTAACGACCAAAGTCAGCCTGCAGGCGCCCTGCCCGCCACAAGGAGTCGCTAGAGCGCGATGAGCCAATTAAAGCCCCCCCCCCCCCCCCTTTCAAACCCTCCCCTAACCCTGGGCCAATTGTGCACCGCCCTATGGGACTCCCGGTCACGGCCGGTTGTGACACACAGCCTGGGATCGAACCTGGGTCTGTAGTGACGCCTTAGACCGCTGTGCCACTCAGGAGGCCCTGTTTATTTAGAATTCTCGATTCGGGTATTCGCGTACAGGTGGATCCGTGAAGGCCTCTAATTGAGGGCTTCCACCATTTTAATGTAGTCAACTGGGTGGGACGTCCAACTTCATTGGCTGATCCTGCCTGGTGACCCTGTTGGAGTCATGTCTAACCGGGTCACCAGGCAGGATCAGCCAATCGTGAAGAAGAAAATGTACTACTTCAAAATGGAGATTGCCTCAATGGCTCTGCCCATGCTGTCACAGACGCTATAATGGCATAGATACAAAGGCCTGCTGTCCGTCCTTCATTCCTTCCTTCCTTTGATCTTTCAACTAAACAAGCGGAAGTAGGAATTCCCCATGAGATTCCAATGAATTTAGCGTCTCACGTGTTTGAGATGTAATTATCTTGTTCATATGTGAATGAAAAAACATTTGATCAGCTCCGCATGTATTTCAAGCTAACATTTACATGCCCATCCTGACAGAAATCTGTTCATGCAAGTAACACAATTTTGCCCCTCACACACACACCACAAATACTTGTGTATCTTTAGGCAATTTGAACTATGTTCAGTCTGTACTCTGGGAAATCCCCCTTTGTTGTGCCTCAAAATATTTCCCTCAAGCAGTATGAATAGGTACTGTCTGTTGGTGTTGAGGCGCTAACTCCAACCGCTCATCTTCTGAGCATGCTTTTGTTTCAATACATTTGAACCTTTACACCTGAGGGTTTTTTTGCTGAAAGGTTTTAAATGATATTTTATTGGAGCTAGACATGAGAATGGATAGTCTTTCAATGGTCAGGGGAAAGAGGAATCTTATCTTCATTTCTTCAGTAAGCTCTAAGTTCTGTTCCCATGATTGTTAGAGGCTAGTGGTCCTCTGTAGCGAAATTGGTAGAGCATGGCGCTTGTAACGCCAGGGTAGTGGGTTCGAACCCCGGGACCACCCATACGTAAAAATGTATACACACATGACTTTAAGTCGCTTTGGATAAAAGTGTCTGCTAAATGGCATATTATTATTATATTATTATGCACAAAATAAGATAAAATGAGTCTAAAGACATGTACACTCCACTCCGTATGTATTTGGACAGTGAAGGTAAGATCTTTTTTTTGTTTCTATACTCCCAACATTTTGGATTTGAGATCAAATGTTTTACATGAGGCGACAGTGCAGAATGTCACCTTTTTTATTTGAGTGTATTTTTATACATACTGTATCTGTTTTACTGTTTAGAAATGAAAGCACTTTATGTATCTAGTCCCCAGTTTGAAGATGTCATAATTATTTGGACAAAATTCACTTAGTGTGTATTAAAGTAGTCACAAAGTTGAGTATTTGGTCCCATATTCCCTAGTGACTACATCAAGCTTGTGACTACACATTCGTTGGATGCATTTGCAGTTTGTTTTGGTTGTGTTTTGGGTCATTCACAATTAATTCACGATTATCAATAATCATGGAAGTAGCATCCAGATAATATAGACGTGTTTAGAAAAACGTATATTCTTACTTACAATAAAAGTGACTCCCAAATGACACTACATCATTCACCATTCTCTTCCTATTGGGCAAAACATAATCCGAAACACAACCAAAAGAAGCTGCAAATGCATTCAAGTTTGTAGAGTCACAAGCTTGATGTAGTCATTGCGTGCTAGGAATATGGGACCAAATACTAAACTTTTGACTACATTAATACGTTATAAGTTAATTCTGTCCAAATACTTATGACATCTTCAAATGGGGGTCTAGATAATTTCTAAATGGTAAAACAGATATGTATAAAAAATACCCTCACTTTCTTTTGACATTCTGTACTGTCACCTCATATGATTTTTTTAAAATCTCAAATCCAAAATGCTGGAGTATAAGGCCACATTTACAATTTTAGCTTCACTGTCCGAATACATACGGAGGGGAGTGTATATAAATCTGTTGGGAATTTCCTCCTGTGTCATAGAGGTAATTACTAGGGACTGTCGAGTGGCATCACCAACAGGAAACGGTGTTTTCAGCTCGCCCCCACGGTCTCAGACTCCAACATGAAACAACTGCCTCAGAGTGTAAAACATAGTGGTGTCTCTCAAACCTGTTCTAGAGGTTGTAGAGGCAGATATAGCCCACTGTCTATGTTGTGCTTCTGTACATAAAGTTACATAGTACATTGATATGAGTTCTCTTTTAAATGCAGTGGCTAAAGACTGGGGTTGAGACATTTGAGCTCAAGGGCAGGCTAAAGACTTTTCTAGGTAGGCAAATTCAAAATGTGTTCTTCAGTCTCACCCTCTGACTGCTTTGCCTAACATCATATGTACTATTTCTTGGAACGTGGTTGGTTTTGTATGTAGGCCAATTTTGGCTGGGAGAACCAAGCATGGCGCTTGCAACGCCAGGGTTGTGGGTTCGATTCCCACGGGGGGCCAGGGGGGCCAGTATGAAAATGAATGCACTCACTAACTAAGTCGCTCTGGATAAGAGCGTCTGCTAAATGACTAAAATGTAAATGTAAGGCATTAGTCTACAGTGCAGTATTCATTTTGTCAAGGAAGAATGTGTAAGATTTCAAAGTGGTTAGATGGCATACTTTTACCTTTCCCTGTGTCCATTACATGTGTTGATATCCATAAGCATCAGTCACTCCCAGTTAATAATTTATGTGATGCATCATTGTTGCTGCATTAAATTCATGTTATCAGACTTTGACAGTTCAAGCATGTTGTTTACACTATTGTTGGATATATGTTGGCTTCCTGTTAGTTTGAACAGAACGCTGTGAGACATTAGTCTATGTGTCATAGAAAGTAATTCATCTGAAGAGAGATGCACATTCTCTTTTCTGTGAAGAATGGGTGACTGAGAAGCTGAGGGGTTTTCCCTGAGGGGTTTTGGAAGGATGGGATCTTTAGTTGAAGTTGTGGAAAAACTTGACATTTTATAATTGTTTGAAAATAGCTCTGGTCACATGAAAAAGGACTGAGATTCCCAACCTACCCTAACCCGGGGTTCTACACTAACTTTTTCTACAGGTGGCACTGGTGCTACTAACTTTTTTTAGTTGGTGACACCAGCACATGATTTGGTCGCACCAATTTTTAAAATAATTTATTTTAGAATTGATAATGACCTGGCCTGTGTCCCATAATGTGCCTGCATTTCATACAGAACCAGGCTAATAATGACTAGCCATCTTTTAAATTAGCATGCCCTGATCAGAAATGAAATCACTGAATATTATATTGGGACAGTAGAACTTCTAAATCGGCTGCCAACTTCAATGACTTTTCAAGGACCAACGAGACTAGAGGAAAATGTCAGATTTTCCAATGTCTGATCGACTGGCCCAGAGGGTTTCAAAAACCTCCCTGTATGTCGAGCACTGACACACACAGACATGGGCATTCCCATGCCATTGTCGCCTCTGAAGAAAGTTGGTTTATTTTTGGTCAATTGCACATTACTGTTTGAATAAATCATGATGATAAAATAAAAAAACGAACGTGACCACGTCAAAAAATTCACTGGCACCCTTGCGACCAATAAAAAATAGTGTGTCGCATTGCCAAGTCAAATGGTTGCAGGATGGAACCCTGCCCTAACATGATGACCAAACTGGCTCCGCTCGTGCGCATGTTGAGTTTTTCTATCCCCACCAGACAGGACAAGCAGGTTGAAATATCAAAACGAACTTTGAACCAACTATATTCATTTGGGGACAGGTCGCAACACACATGAAACATTCATGGACATTTAGCTAGCTAGCTTGCTGTTGCTAGGTAATTTGTCCTGGGATATAGACATTTGGTTGTTATTTTACCTGAAATGTACAAGGGTCCTTTTGTTTGCTGGATCTTTGTAGAATTTTGACCCATTTTGGAGTCACACAATATCGTGTGTTCTCTACTCCGACAATTAATCCACAGATAAAAGGGGAAACCTAGTTAGTTTCTGGTAATCGCTCCTAGTTCAGTCTTCTCTGTGGATTTTATATGGAGGTTGGCAACCTACTTTCAGGTGCATTACAGCAACCGACTGGAGTGTGGACCTCGTTCATCTTTCAATCACCCACGTGGGTATATGCTCCTAAAAACCAATGAGGAGATGGGAGAGGCGGGACTTGCAGCGCGTCAAGTGTCTAAAATAGAACCATGTTCTAGTTTAGTTTCTGGCAACTTTTGGATGAAATTATTGAATAACATGTACAGTGGGGAGAACAAGTATTTGATACACTGTCGATTTTGCAGGTTTTCCTACTTACAAAGCATGTAGAGGTCTGTAATTTTTATCATAGGTACACTTCAACTGTGAGAGACGGAATCTAAAACAAAAATCCAGAAAATCACATTGTATGATTTCTAAGTAATTAATTTGCATTTTATTGCATGACATAAGTATTTGATCACCTACCAACCAGTAAGAATTCCGGCTCTCACAGACCTGTTAGTTTTTCTTTAAGAAGCCCTCCTGTCCTCCACTCATTACCTGTATTAACTGCACCTGTTTGAACTCGTTACCTGTATAAAAGACACCTGTCCACACACTCAATCAAACAGACTCCAACCTCTCCACAATGGCCAAGACCAGAGAGCTGTGTAAGGACATCATGGATAAAATTGTAGACCTGCACAAGGCTGGGATGGGCTACAGGACAATAGGCAAGCAGCTTGGTGAGAAGGTAACAGCTGTTGGCGCAATTATTAGAAAATGGAAGAAGTTCAAGATGATGGTCAATCACCCTCGGTCTGGGGCTCAATGCAAGATCTCAACTCGTGGGGCATCAATGATCATGAGGAAGGTGAGGGATCAGCCCAGAACTACACGGCAGGACCTGGTCAATGACCTGAAGAGAGCTGGGACCACAGTCTCAAAGAAAACCATTAGTAACACACTACGCCGTCATGGATTAAAATCCTGCAGCGCACGCAAGGTCCCCCTGCTCAAGCCAGCACATGTCCAGGCCCGTCTGAAGTTTGCCAATGACCATCTGGATGATCCAGAGGAGGAATGGGAGAAGGTCATGTGGTCTGATGAGACAAAAATATAGCTTTTTGGTCTAAACTCCACTCGCCGTGTTTGGAGGAAGAAGGATGAGTACAACCCCAAGAACACCATCCCTGTATGGAGGAGTGGGCCAAAATCCCTGCTGTAGTGTGTGCAAACTTGGTCAAGACCTACAGGAAACGAATGATCTCTGTAATTGCAAACAAAGGTTTCTGTACCAAATATTAAGTTCTGCTTTTCTGATGTATCAAATACTTATGTCATGCAATAAAATGCAAATTAATTACTTAAAAATCATACAATGTGATTTTCTGGATTTTTGTTTTAGATTCCGTCTCTCACAGTGTACCTATGATAAAAAATTACAGACCTCTACATGCTTTGTAAGTAGGAAACACTGCCGATTTTGCAGGTTATCAAATACTTGTTCTCCCCACTGTATGTATACATTAATTTTGCAACGCTCGCCCACGCAACACAGGCAGTGTGGTCAGCATGTAACCCTGTGTATCAAAATCTGAGCCATGTGTAAAAGTGTTTTCATCCAGCATTTCCTTCATGTATTCATTTGGTTGATTCATCACTCAGAAATGGATTACCATTTGGACTGGCATTTTCCACTGTTTTGAATGCTGTGTGTTTGTGTGATTGTATGCGTGTGTTTTGTCAACGCAAGAGTGACACATTTTCCCCCTAGAGAAAGTGTGTTACTAACCTCATTTGGTTGACTCATCACTCAGAAATTGTTTACCATTTCGACTGGGAATTTTGAATGATGTGTGTTGTTGATGCAAAAGTGACTAATTTTCCCCCTAGAGAAAGTGTCTGAGTAACCACATGACAAACAAAGCACAAAGAGACAGTAGCACTCAAGCTCCTAACTGAGCCTGTCAGTCAGCCAATCAGTCAAGTCGTTATGACTGAACTAGTTACACAGGCTAAGAGCCAATAAACCAGAGAGCACATTTTAGACTTTACAAGATTTCTTTCTTTTCACAAAACACCACCATACTAAACTCAGCAAAAAAAGAAACGTCCTCTCACTGTCTACTGCGTTTATTTTCAGCAAACTTAACGTGTGTAAATATTTGTATGAACATAACAAGATTCAACAACTGAGACATAAACTGAAAATGTATGCACTCACTAACTGTAAGTCGCTCTGGATAAGAGCGTCTGCTAAATGACAAATGTAAAATGTAAACAAGTTCCACAGACATGTGACTAACAGAAATTGAATAATGTGTCCCTGAACAAAGGGGGGGTCAAAATCAAAAGTAATGGTCAGTATCTGGTGTGGACACCAGCTTCATTAAGTACTGCAGTGCATCTCCTCCTCATGGATTGCACCAGATTTGCCAGTTCTTGCTGTGAGATGTTACCCCACTCTTCCACCAAGGCACCTGCAATTTCCCGGACATTACTGGGGGAACTGGCCCTAGCCCTCACCCTCCGATCCAACAGGTCCCAGACATGCTCAATGGGATTGAGATCCGGGCTCTTCGCTGGCCATGGCAGAACACTGACATTCCTGTCTTGCAGGAAATCACGCACAGAACGAGCAGTATGGCTGGTGGCATTGTCATGCTGGAGGGTCATGTCAGGATGAGCCTGCAGGAAGGGTACCACATGAGGGAGGAGGATGTCTTCCCTGTAACGCACAGCGTTGCGATTGCCTGCAATGACAACAAGCTCAGTCCGATGATGCTGTGACACACCGCCCCAGACCATGACGGACCCTCCACCTCCAAATCGATCCCGCTCCAGAGTACAGGCCTTGGTGTAAGGCTCATTCCTTCGACAATAAACGTGAATCCGACCATCACCCCTGGTGAGACAAAACCGCGACTCGTCAGTGAAGAGCACTTTTTGCCAGTCCTGTCTGGTCCAGCAACGGTGGGTTTGTGCCAATAGGCGACGTTGTTGCCGGTGATGTCTGGTGAGGACCTGCCTTACAACAGGCCTACAAGCCCTCAGTCCAGCCTCTCTCAGCCTATTGCGGACAGTCTGGGCACTGATGGAGGGATTGTGCGTTCCTGGTATGACTCGGGCAGTTGTTGTTGCCATCCTGTCCCTGTCCCGCAGGTGTGATGTTCGGATGTACCGATCCTGTGCAGGTGTTGTTACACGTGGTCTGCCACTGTGAGGACGATCAGCTGTCCATCCTGTCATCCTGTAGCGCTGTCTTAGGTGTCTCACAGTACGGACATTGCAATTTATTGCCCTGGCCACATCTGCAGTCCTCATGCCTCCATGCAGCATGCCTAAGGCACGTTCACGCAGATGAGCAGGGACCCTGGGCATCTTTCTTTTTGTGTTTTTCAGAGTCAGTAGAAAGGCCTCTTTAGTGTCCTAAGTTTTCATAACTGACCTTAATTGCCTACCGTCTGTAAGCTGTGTCTTAACGACCGTTCCACAGGTGCATGTTCATTAATTGTTTATGGTTCATTGAACAAGCTTGGGAAACAGTGTTTAAACCTTTTACAATGAAGATCTGTGAAGTTATTTGTATTTTTACGAATTATCTTTGAAAGACAGGGTCCTGAAAAAGGGACTTTTCTTTTTTTGCTGAGTTTATGTAAGCAGTCTGGCACTCGAGGCTATCTCGAGGCTATCGTTCGAATATCTTGTCTAAAGAGTGTCTCCCTCTAAAAAGGCAATTTGCTGTTGTCTTTGCAGATCTGTAACTACCAGGGGTTGGCACGTGTGGTGGTACAGCTGGTGACCAACTCTAAAGATGCCCACCTCCATGCCCACAGTCTGGTGGGCAAGCAGTGTGACAAGGGCATCTGCATCGCAGACCTACAGCCCAAAGACTCCAGCATCAGGTGTGTCTCCACCGTTCACTCTAGTTAGCGCACGAATGAACACACACTAGGGCTGGCACGGTAATTGTATAATCATGTAACCGACAATTTATGGATGAAGACCATGAATAAAATAACAGTTTAATACATAATTTAAAAATATATATTTTTATGAACTTTATTTTCAAGTAGTAGATATATTTTACACAATAGCAGTAGTGTAAATGAATGATTATGAACATTTGTTTTGCTACCTTAATCCATCTAGATATCAAACTGTCTCCACCTCCTCCCGACACACGCTCTCTTCTTCAAAATGTGCACTCCCTTTGATGCTGCTGTAGCCAGCTACAGTGCGCATAATTCTCCGGTTTGTAAAGATGTAAAAAGATGCTAAAATCCGACCTGAATTGTCACTCTGTCTGCTGAAATTAGCTACCCAATGTAATTGTTGGTGAATATGGACATTTATAAGCAAAAGTTAATCATCAATGTTATAAAAACCGAAGTTTAAATCAAATAGGCTAGCAAACGTCAAGTCTGTGTGCATAACCCAGAGGCATGACCACTGCACGTGATAGATTGATCCACTAGAAGAGAGGTGAAGATTTGCCTGCCTTAATGTTGCAAACCGTTACCCAAAATTCCATGATCGTCACAGCCCTAACACACACCATTGAAAGAGCAAGTTAGCTTACCGGTAAATGAGTACGTTTGGCACCTTCTAAAATGTTTGCTTATTGACAACATTGCAGAAATGTCTGGACTTCCTATAGGACCATTATGGATCCTTCCTTTGAGATCATATGTAATGATGAGATTTCTCGCTTAGGGTTTCCCCATCTAACTTGAATTGACTTTATGGTGTTATGTCTTGCACTCATTCTTAAAAACGTACCACATGTAAATCAGTCATTCCTTGTGACAGTTTCCCCAACCTGGGCATCCTCCACGTGACCAAGAAGAATGTGAGTAAGACCCTGGAGGACCGCATGACTGAGGCCTACAGGATGGGCTACAACTGTGGCATTGTCATCCACTCCGACATAGATTCCTTCCAGGGAGAGGTCCGCATCCCCCGGGAGCTCACTGGTCAGCCACCTTTAAGACAGTTGATTGAATGAATGTATTTCTGCAGAGCACTAAGAATATTTCTTGTTTTGCATATATGTGAATCTATGCATCGCCAACTTCACACTCAACCTTCGCGTGTGTCTTCAGATCACCAGAGAAACATGATCTGCAGCGCAGCGCACCAGCAGGCTAAAGAGATGGACCTAAGCGTGGTGCGCCTCATGTTCACAGCCTTCCTCCCAGATAGTGACGGGGGCTTCTCCCGTAGACTGGACCCCGTCATATCAGACCCCATTTTCGACAGCAGTAAGTCACTAACAGCCACCTAGTCACTAAGCGCCAAATCAACTTCAGTTCTTGTGAAAATGTACCCATTGACATCAATGCATGATTTATGCAAACAAGGATTAGGCCGTTAATGCTGTGTTTCCCAGTGCGCTGTGACCCCAACAAAACAATGGTTCTAGCTAGCTAGCTAAAACAGTCTTTAGCCATGACCCAAGAAGAACTGTCTGTGGTCCACCATTTTGTTTCTTCTTTACATTATCAGTGAAAGATGTTCCATTACCCTTCACTAAGTCCATCTATGACAAAGGTCCCCCACCTCACCATAGAAACACACCAGATTAGGCTACATGGTACCCAGTTGTGCCTCAGCTTAATGAAACTCAGGAAGGAACTACTGTTTGAACAAACTAATAGAATCACTCTTGTGCCTGTCATCACTGAATTCATGTAATTAGTCACTGAGTTTAAGATGTATTGAAATAAACCACATCAGTGTGCACAGGTTTCATTTTCCTAGCTCTGTGCTTCCTCTACCTCACATTTCTTACTCAGCTTCCTCTCGCAGGCTGAAACTAGGCCTTCACTTTCAGTTTGATGCCCGCCCTTTACTGAGAGAAAGCATCCACACAGTTTGTGTCAAGTCTTTTTTTCCACATTTGGTGTCTCTGTGGTTTATTTAAATGATAAAAGATTTTTGAAGAGAAACAAATAAAATAGTGTTTCCAGTTTGATAACAAAGGGCAATTTCAAAGATTTACAAGGAATCCAATATGGATGATGCACAGCATGTATTAGTTACAGTGCTTTCAGAAAGTATTCACACCCCTTAACTTTTTCCACATTTTGTTGTGTTACAACCTGAATTTAAAATGGATTAAATTGAGATTTTTTTCACTGGCATACACACAATACCCCATAATGCCAAAGAGAAAAAAATTTTTTTTGACATTTTTACCAATTAGTAAAAATGAAAAGCTTAAATGTCTTGAGTCAATAAGTATTCAACCCCTTTGTTATGGCAAGCCTAAATAAGTTCAGGAGTAAAAATGTGCATGGATTCACTCTGTGTGCAATAATAGTGTTTAATATGATTTTTGAATGACTACCTCATCTCTGTACCCCACACATACAATTATATCTAAGGTCGCTCAGTATAGCAGAGAATTTCAAAGACAAATTCAACCACAAAGACCAGGGAGGTTTTCCAATGCCTCGCAAAGAAGGGCACCTATTGGTAGATGGGTAAAAAAAAAAACAGACATTGAATATCCCTTTGAACATGGTGAAGTTATTAATTACACTTTGGATGGTGTATCAATACACCCAGTCACTACAAAGATACAGGCGTCCTTCCTAACTCAGTTGCCGGAGAGGAAGGAAACCGCTCAGGGATTTCACAAGGCCAATGGTGACTTTAAGACAGTTACAGTTTGATGGCTGTGATAGGACAAAACTGAGGATGGATCAACAACATTGTAGTTACTCCACAATACTAACCTAATTGGCAGAGTGAAAAGAAGGAAGCCTGTACAGAATAAAAATATTCCAAAACATGCATCCTGTTGCATCATTATGGGGTATTGTATGTACACTAGTTTGGGGTCACTTAGAAATGTCCTTGTTTTCGAAAGAAAAGCAATTTTTGTCCATTTAAATAATTGATCAGAAATACAGTGTAGATAATGTTAATCTTGTAAATGGCTATTGTAGCTGGAAACGGCTGATTTTATTAATGGAATATCTACATAGGCATACAGAGGTCCATTATCAGCAACCATCAGTCCTGTGTTCCAATGGCACGTTGTGTTTGCTAATCCAAGTTGATCGTTTTAAAAGGCTAATTGATCACTAGAAAACCTTTTTGTAATTATGTTGTAAGTCGCTCTGGATAAGACCGTCTGTTAAATGACTAAAATGTAAAAAATGTTAGCACAGCTGAAAACTGTTGTGCTGATTAAAGAAGCAATAACACTGGCCTTCTTGAGACTAGTTGAGTATCTGGAGCATCAGCAATTGTGGGTTCGATTACAGGCTCAAAATGGCCAGAAACAAATAACTTTCTTCTGAAACTCATCAGTCTATACTTGTTCTGAGAAATGAAGGCTATTCCATGCGAGAAATAGGCAAGAAACTGAAGATCTCGTACCACGCTGTGTACTACTCCCTTCACAGAACAGCGCAAACTGTCTCTAACCAGAATAAAAAGGGGAGTGGGAGGCCCCGGTGCACAGCTGAGCAAGAGGACAAATACATTAGAGTGTCTAGTTTGAGAAACAGGCGCCTCACAGGTCCTCAACTGGCAGCTTTATTAAATAGTATCCGCAAAACACCAGTCTCAACGTCAACAGTGAAGAGGCGACTCTGGGATGCTGACCTTCTAGGCAGAGTTGCAAAGAAAAAGCCATATCTCAGACTGCCCATCTTAATATTTGATTTTTATTGGCCAGTCTGAGATATGGCTTTTTCTTTGCAACTCTGCCAAGAAGGTCAGCATCCTGGAGTCGCCTCTGATCAATTTGATGTTATTTTAATGGACAAAAAGTGTTTTTCTTTCGAAAACAAGGAACGGTAGTGTAGATGGGTGAGATTTTTTAAAATCCATTTTTAATTCAGGCTGCAATACAACAAAATGTGGAATAAGTCAAGGTGTTTGAATACTATCTGAATGCACTTTACCTATTAGCTGTCAATAAATGAGAAGTAACGGTATTCTGCCTGCACTAAACCGAAGATCTGAGTTGACCAATTGACCATCTCTCTATTCCCTTATCCTGTTTGCAGAAGCTCCTAATGCATCCAACCTGAAGATAGTGCGGATGGACCGCACAGCTGGCTGTGTGACAGGAGGAGAGGAGGTCTACCTGCTCTGTGACAAGGTCCAGAAAGGTACAGTATGTGACTGGGGAATGGATCTGTCATCCATGATCCCGAGTGTGATTTATCAAGACCACGTTATCATTAAGATCTAACTGTCAACACGTAGTCTGAAGCATTATCTCTCCGGCTCTTACTTCCGGCCTGCTTTTCCAGGAAGAGTTTTATAGCGGTGTATTGTCCTCTCTACCTTTGTTTTTGCCTTATTGGCCTGTGGGCAGAACGTCAACAACCCTGTAATGCAAGATCCTCTCTTGGGACAAAAGTTCAAGTCATTTTTGGGCTCTGCTGTTTGACCTCCAAACAAAGGGCCTCATCTCGAGTCTATTTCTACCTCACTGTGTATCATGTTTTGCAGAGTCAATCAGTGATATACAGTGGCTTGCTAAAGTATTCAGCCAATCAGTTGTGTTGTGACAAGGTAGGGGCTTTCGAAAGTATTCACCCCCCTTGGCATTTTTCCTATTTTGTTGCCTTACAACCTGGAATTAAAGTGGATTTTTGGGGGGTTTGTATAATTTGATTTACACAACATGCCTACCACTTTGAAGATGTCAAATATTATTTTTTGTGAAACAACAAGAAATAAGACCAAAAAAACAGAACTTGTGCGTGCATAACAATTTTTTGCAGCAATTACAGCTGGAAGTCTCTTGGGGTATGTCTCTATAAGCTTGGCACATCTAGCCACTGGGATTTTTGCCCATTCTTCAAGGCAAAACTGCTCCAGCTCCTTCAAGTTGGATGGGTTCCGCTGGTGTACAGCAATCTTTAAGTCATACCACAGATTCTCAATTGGATTGAGGTCTGGGCTTTGACTAGGCCATTCCAAGACATTTAAATGTTTCCCCTTAAACCACTCTAGTGTTGCTTTAGCAGTATGCTTAGGGTCATTGTCCTGCTGGAAGGTGAACCTCCGTCCCTGTCTCAAATCTCTGGAAGACTGAAACAGGTTTCCCTCAAGAATTTCCCTGTATTTAGCACCATCCATCATTCCTTCAATTCTGACCAGTTTCCCAGTCCCTGCCAATGAAAAACATCCCCACAGCATAATGCTGCCACCACCATGCTTCACTGTGGGGATGGTGTTCTCGGGGTGATGAGAGGTGTTGGGTTTGCGCCAGACATAGCGTTTTCCTTGATGGCCAAAAAGCTCAATTTTAGTCTCATCTGACCAGAGTACCTTCTTCCAAACGTGTTTGCTTATTTTTTTCTTTAAGCAATGGCTTTTTTCTGGCCACTTCCATAAAGCCCAGCTCTGTGGAGTGTACGGCTTAAAGTGGTCCTATGGACAGATACTCCAATCTCCGCTGTGGAGCTTTGCAGCTCCTTCAGGGTTATCTTTGGTCTCTTTGTTGCCTCTCTGATTAATGCCCTCCTTGCCTGGTCTGTGAGTTTTGGTGGGCGGCCCTCTCTTGGCAGGTTTGTGGTGCCATATTCTTTCCATTTTTTTATAATGGATTTAATGGTGCTCCATGGGATGTTCAAAGTTCCTGATATTTTTTTATAACCCAACCCTGATCTGTACTTCTCCACAACTTTGTCCCTGACCTGTTTGGAGAGCTCCTTGGTCTTCATGGTGCCGCTTGCTTGGTGGTGCCCCTTGCTTAGTGGTGTTGCAGAGACTGGGGCCTTTCAGAACATGTGTATATATACTGAGATCATGTGCCAGATCATGTGACACTTAGATTACACACATGTGGACTTTATTTAACTAATTATGTGACTTCTGAAGTTAATTGGTTGCACCAGATCTTATTTAGAGGCTTCATAGCAAAGGGGGTGAATACATATGCACGCACCACTTTTCCGTTATTAATTTTTTTGGATTTTCTGAAACAAGTAATTTTTTTAAATTTCACTTTTGTGTATGTCCATTACATGAAATCCAAATAAAAAATCTATTTAAATTACAGGTTGTAATGCAACAAAATAGGAAAAACGCCAAGGGAGATGAATACTTTTGCAAGGCACTGTACTACTCCAGCCCTTCAGGCTTTTGTTTCAGCCCAGCTCGAAGACACTTAATTCTGACAATCCATACTGAATATCACAATTTTAGTTGATTCTTTGAAATGTTAGTGTTGGGTTGGAGCAAAGGCCTGCACACCCAGCAGCTCTCCCACGACTTGAGTTTTCTTGTCAAGGAAATGTACGGTGCAGCCAAAACATTCCAGTAGGATATTCAAATACTTCTGTCTGTAGTTGTGGGGCTGTCAGTAGTGGGTGGCACCATTTCCTGGTTACCTTGGAAAGACATTGACATTTCCTTGTGGTTCCATGACCGATGACACGTGAAAGATTTTCAGCAACACTTGAAGGCTAAATGCACAAACGTTGGTTTTGAAAATGAGTATTTTTTCTAGTCAACTTCTATTATCCTCCAATATATTTCACGTCACCAGTTTGTTCCTTTACTCATAGTTTGAAATTGGGGTTGTGACAGTGTACCTTTTCCCCTGTCGTGACAGATGACATCCAGGTGCGCTTCTATGAGGATGATGAGACAGGGCTGACATGGGAGGCCTTTGGGGACTTCTCCCCCACTGATGTACATCGACAGGTCATTGACACACAATTTGCCAATAAAGTCAGTTTTTATATTTCCTCCCCTGTAACAGTACTATAACCTAACCACTGGTAAAATCTCCACTCCCCTTCCACAGTTTGCCATTGTTTTCAAGACCCCCAAATACAGAGACCTGAACCTCCAGAAGCCCACCTCAGTGTTTGTGCAGCTGAAGCGTAAATCGGACAACGAGACGAGCGAGCCCAAGCCCTTCACCTACCACCCACAGATCATAGGTGAACCGCTCTGAAACACCCCCAGACCTGGTCCTGGAGACCCCCTGTGCATGCTGGACTCCATCCCAACCAACTATAGTTTGTGCCATTCTTATGGCACAGGGTTCAAATTGGACATAACCCGCTATTCTGTCAACTGTCAAGTCAATCCGCTCATCTTGTCCCTGGTCTTCATCCTCAGATAAGGAAGAGGTGCAGAGGAAGAGACAGAAGACCCTGCCTAACTTCCAGGACTACAGCGGCCAAGGTGGAGCAGGGGGCATGTACCGGGGACCAGGGGGAGGAGGCTCCGCTACGGGGGGAGGACCCGGCTCTGGGGGAGGAGGTACACCCAAAATGTTTCTGATGAATCATTCATTTTAACACAACAGAAGAAATGTGATTTAAGGTGAACGAGACAAGCCATGTAAACTTCAAATGGGCAATGTCTCACAAAATCCTGAACACAAGACAAAGTACAAGTTCAAAAGCTTTATTGTCTATTTAGGCTAAAAGGAAATGTGTAACCACTTAAAAGCAACTTTCTTTTAGGTTACTTCCAGGGCTATTCCACCTACAATAACTACGGCACTGGCTATAGCGCTGGCTTTTCCCCTGGCATGAGTGGTGGCGGAGCGGGTATTAAACATGGTGAGTGTGTTTGTCTGTCTGCTAGATCAATTCCATTTAAGTTCAGGATAGGAATTAAGCTCAACCATGTTCCCTCGACACAGCTCCACAGGGCAGAGCGGAGGACAGCGATGATGACAGCGACGTGGACGATGACCCGTCCTCAGGGGCAGTGGTGGCGGTCCAAGCCCAGTCGGAGGATGCCTCTGCTGGGGAGACAAGTGAGGAGAGAGGGGCTGGTGTGGAGCTAGGACCAGGGGACAGGACTGGAGGTGCGCCCAACAAGGACATTTGTATAGTGATTAGTGAGCCACTTCCTCAGGAAACAGACTACTGTACTTGTTGGTGTATGACTGTGTGTTTGTGCTGGAAGCCAGGGTGGTTAATGACAGTGTTTTTATATTTGTGTCCAGAATGCGTGCTGGAGGCCAAGCTGGTGGATGTGGCTGAGAGGCAAGCTGAAGCCCTCTTCCAGTACGCCGTCACTGGAGACGTCCGCTACCTGCTGGCTCCACAGCGCCACCTCATGACGGCTCAGGATGAGAACGGTGACACGTACGTCCCCTCCCACACAACCTATCACTTCAGACCTAATTTTAACATAAATATAACTCGGACTTTCACAGCATTTGTATAACTGTATAACCTCCATTTTGTGTCCATCTGCATTCAGCTTTGCATTGATGCCAATGGGATATATAACCCTGATATGTGGCATAGTTTCTCCAGTAGCACATGCCAATCTGGGCTTGTCCTCTGTTTCTCCAGTGGTCTCCATCTGGGCGTGATCCACAGCCAGACAGACGCAGTCAGGAGTCTAGCCCAGGTCCTCTCTGTCCTGCCTGGAGAGGAGGTCCTCAACATGAGGAATGACCTCTATCAGGTAACAAACACACACACACACATGCCTTGTGTTTCTGTGACGATCTTAGTTCGTCAATGACAGAACAGGCAGTAATATCCTATATTTGTGTCCCTCTATCCCAGACTCCTTTGCACCTAGCAGTGATAACCCAGCAGAAGGTGGCGGCCGAGGCCCTCCTATTGGCTGGGGCTGATGTCACTCTGTCTGATCGCCACGGAAACACAGCTCTACACCTGGCCACTCAGCAGAAGGAGGGAGGGATGGTGGAATGTCTACTAAGACACAGAGAGGTGGTGGAACTAGTGGACCTCCCCAACGCAGCAGGTACAACACACACACATACACACACTCATATACACACACGCATAGTGGAAAGTGAAGAGTCAACTAGAGCATGACAGTGCTTTTATCCTCCAGGATTTTGCTCCCTCCACCTGGCTGTGCTGGCCAACAACCTGTGTTCCCTCAGGGACCTCCTGGTGAGCGGGGGCAGTGTGGAGGTCCAGGAGAGGAGCTGCGGCCGCACGGCGCTCCACTTGGCCACTGAGCTGGACAATGTCTCCCTGGCAGGCTGCCTGCTACTGGAGGTACGTACCGTAGAAGCCTTGCCTACCTCCATTACGGACCACCCTGCATCTTTCTACTGGCTGGTATCTTGAGGCTAAGCAGAGTTGGGCCTGGTCAATACCTGGATGGGAGACCTAGAGTGTATTTAGTAAGGTGAAACTTTGAGAACGTAACAAACTAGCACAACTCAAGTAGCCCTTTCCTTGTGACGGTGGATGGGTCATGGGTGTAAGATGTGTGTTGACAGTGTTCTCTCCCTCCATAGGGGAATGCTGATGTGGACTGCTGCACCTACAATGGCTCCAGCCCTCTCCACATAGCAGCAGGGCGGGGCTCTGTCAAACTGACCGCTCTCCTCATGGCTGCAGGTATGACTAAGTTTCTTCAAACTGTCCCCTTTGTGAAAATGGCTTAGTTCGATGTCTTTGTTTTCTCTGTAACTGCTGTTTTGTAATATAGTCCTAGCTCAAAGACAGACATGACTTTATCAATCTTTTCATGTCTAGGTGCCAATCCTCACAAAGAAAACTTTGAGCCCCTGTTCTTCAGAGAGGATGACTGCTATGTGGATGAGGAAGAGGAGGAGGAGCAGGACGAAGGCTACATCCCAGGGATGACTCCTCTTAACATGGCTGCCACTCCTGAGGTGGGTTCCACTTGCACACGCTTTGATGTGTTTTCTGGAAGTCATTTTCCTACATGTTCTACTATCGTCTCACACGCCACGTATCTCACTCAACTGACTAATATTGCTATAGTCCTTTCTCACGCCTTTTAATTTTGACTCTAAAGATAACATGTATGTCATTTTATGACAACAAAACTACTGACGTGAATTCACGAGTTGAAAGAATATTTAAAAATGAAATCTTTATCTATTTGAATGTTCGCTAAATATTCTCTCTCTTCCTTGTACTTCTAGGTATTGGAAATTCTGAATGGCAAAGAGTACAAGCCAGAGACCACCATCCCAGTCTTCATCCCCCCTCAAGGTTGGCTCCTGCACTTCAGTTTAAACAACCCCCTTCATTGTAATCTCTACGTCTTAGGCCATAGGGTTCTACTGCTGTCTCGTCTTGGTTCTTGTCCACTTTGGAGTACAGCTAACGGTGTCATGTTTCTGTAGGCGACATGCAGAGCCTGGGCTCAGACACAAAGCAGGCACTATGCCAGGCCCTTGAGTGCCAGGGGGGGAGCTGGGAGAGTCTGGCGCACACGCTGGGGCTGGGCATCCTCAACAGCGCCTTCAGACTCAGCCCCTCCCCCGCCAGCACGCTGCTGGACAGCTATGAGGTACACACACACACACACACACACACACACACACACACACTATCCCAACCTTAGGCAAATATCTTCTTTAGGGAATTCACTTACAAACCCATTTCTAAGAAAGCTGATGTTTCTCTGGAAACTTGCTCCTCATCTTCTCTGGTGTTGTGCCAGGACACATTAATCAACATTCAGACAAAGACATGAGGGGGAAACATAGGCATTGTAAGATTTGAAATTTCACTTTGATAGTCTCTCTTCTTTTTTGCTCAGATTTCTCCCACCTTGAATTCAAGTCAGTACAGAAAATTAATTAATATGTTCTCATTGAAACTTGGAGACTTTTTTTCAACACTTCCATTTAATTTTGACCCAATAGTTGGTTTATAAGTAACACTTCTATGCCCCTGCCTGTAGGTATCCGGGGGAAGGGTCAAGGACCTTTTGGAGGGACTCAGGACAGTGGGAAACTGCACCGCTTTGACAGTACTGCAGGGGGCACTGTGTGAAACAGAGCAGGCTCCCCAAAGCACCACAGAGCTCTTAGGTAAGCTCAAAAAGAACTCAGCCAGTAGCTCAATGTGCAATATACACTACCGTTCAAAAGTTTGGGGTCACTTAGAAATGTCCTTGTTTTTGAAAGAAAAGCAAAAAAATGTAACCATTAGAATAACATCAAATTGATCAGAAGTACAGTGTAGACATTGTTAATGTTGTAAATGGCTATTGTAGCTGGAAATGGCGGATAAAAAAAAAAAAATGGAATATCTACATAGGCGTACAGAGGCCCATTATCAGCAACCATCAGTCCTGTGTTCCAATAGCACGTTGTGTTTGCTAATCCAAGTTTATAATTTTAAAAGGCTAATTGATCATAACCAGAATAGAAAGAGGAGTGGGAGGCCCCAGTGCACAACTGAGCAAGAGGACAAATACATTAGTGTCTAGTTTGAGAAACAGACGCCTCACAGGTCCTCAACTGGCAGCTTCATTAAATAGTACCCGCAAAACACTAGTTTCAACGTCAACAGTGAAGAGGCGACTCCGGGATGCTGACCTTCTAGGCAGAGTTGCAAAGAAAAAGCCATATCAGACTACCCATCTTAATCTTTTATTTACCAGTCTGAGATATGGCTTTTTCTGCCTATTTCTCAAACTAGACACTCTAATGTATTTGTCCTCTTGCTCAGTTGTGCACTGGGGCCTCCCACTCCTCTTTCTGTTCTGGTTAGAGGCAGTTTGCGCTGTTCTGTGAAGGGAGTAGTACACAGCATTGTACGAGATCTTCAGTTTCTTGGCAATTTCTCGCATGGAATAGCATTCATTTCTCAGAACAAGAATAGACTGATGAGTTTCAGAAGAAAGTTACTTGTTTCTGGCCATTTTGAGCCTGTAATCGAACCCACAATTGCTGATGCTCCAGATACTCAACTAGTCTCAAGAAGGCCAGTTTTATTGCTTCTTTAATCAGCACAACAGTTTTCAGCTGTGCTAACATAATTGCAAAAGGGTTTTCTAATGATCAATTAGCCTTTTAAAATGATAAACTTGGATTAGCAAACACAACGTGCCATTGGAACACAGGACTGATGGTTGCTGATAATGGGCCTCTGTATGCCTATGTAGATATTCCATTTAAAAAATCAGCCGTTTCCAGCTACAATAGCCATTTACAACATTAACAATGTCTACACTGTATTTCTGATCAATTTGATGTTATTTTAATGGACCAAAAAAAAAGCTTTTCTTTCGAAAACCAGGACATTTCTAAGTGACCCCAAACTTTTGAACGGTAGTGTATATACTAGCATACCTTATGATTTTAAATAGAATCATCTGGTATACAGTGGGGGAAAAAAGTATTTAGTCAGCCACCAATTGTGCAAGTTCTCCCACTTAAAAAGATGAGAGAGGCCTGTAATTTCCATCATAGGTACACGTCAACTATGACAGACAAAATGAGAAAAGAAAATCACATTGTAGGATTTTTAATGAATTTATTTGCAAATTATAGTGGAAAATAAGTATTTGGTCAATAACAAAAGTTTCTCAATACTTTGTTATATACCCTTTGTTGGCAATGACACAGGTCAAACGTTTTCTGTAAGTCTTCACAAGGTTTTCACACACTGTTGCTGGTATTTTGGCCCAATCCTCCATGCAGATCTCCTCTAGAGCAGTGATGTTTTGGGGCTGTCGCTGGGCAACATGGACTTTCAACTCCCTCCAAAGATTTTCTATGGGGTTGAGATCTGGAGACTGGCTAGGCCACTCCAGGACCTTGAAATGCTTCTTACGAAGCCACTCCTTCGTTGCCCGAGCGGTGTGTTTGGGATCATTGTCATGCTGAAAGACCCAGCCACATTTCATCTTCAATGCCCTTGCTGATGGAAGGAGGTTTTCACTCAAAATCTCACGATACATGGCCCCATTCATTCTTTCCTTTACACGGATCAGTCGTCCTGGTCCCTTTGCAGAAAAACAGCCCCAAAGCATGATGTTTCCACCCCCATGCTTCACAGTAGGTATGGTGTTCTTTGGATGCAACTCAGCATTCTTTGTCCTCCAAACACGACGAGTTCAATTTTTACCAAAAAGTTCTATTTTGGTTTCATCTGACCATATGACATTCTCCCAATCCTCTTCTGGATCATCCAAATGCACTCTAGCAAACTTCAGACGGGCCTGGACATGTACTGGCTTAAGCAGGGGGACACGTCTGGCACTGCAGGATTTGAGTCCCTGGCGGCGTAGTGTGTTACTGATGGTAGGCTTTGTTACTTTGGTCCCAGCTCTCTGCAGGTCATTCACTAGGTCCCCCCCGTGTGGTTCTGGGATTTTTGCTCACCGTTCTTGTGATCATTTTGACCCCACGGGGTGAGATCTTGCGTGGAGCCCCAGATCGAGGGAGATTATCAGTGGTCTTGTATGTCTTCCATTTCCTAATAATTGCTCCCACAGTTGATTTCTTCAAACCAAGCTGCTTACCTATTGCAGATTCAGTCTTCCCAGCCTGGTGCAGGTCTCCAATTTTGTTTCTGGTGTCCTTTGACAGCTCTTTGGTCTTGGCCATAGTGGAGTTTGGAGTGTGACTGTTTGAGGTTGTGGACAGGTGTCTTTTATACTGATAACAAGTTCAAACAGGTGCCATTAATACAGGTAACGAGTGGAGGACAGAGGAGCCTCTTAAAGAAGTTGTTACAGGTCTGTGAGAGCCAGAAATCTTGCTTGTTTGTAGGTGACCAAATATTTTCCACCATAATTTGCAAATAAATTCATAAAAAATCCTACAATGTGATTTTCTGGAGAGAAAAAATCTCAATTTGTCTGTCATAGTTGACGTGTACCTATGATGAAAATTACAGGCCTCTCTCATCTTTTTAAGTGAGAGATCTTGCACAATTGGTGGCTGACTAAATACTTTTTTTCCCCACTGTATAAGTCACATGCCCTTAACCCCCCCCCTTGTCTCTCAGGACGTGTGCAGGATCTAAAGCTGGATGGACGGGAGGACAGCGGTGTGTGTGACAGTGGGGTGGAGCTCTCCACAGTGTGACTGCCAGATTGGTTAATCACACATCATGGCCCTGACCTTGTCAGGATTTCATGAGGCTTCTGCTTCCTATAAGCAAGCTACAGACATTTTCTCTCTGAAAGGGACAATCCAGCAAGCACGTCTCCTCACACATCATGCTGAATATCTTAACTTTTTATATGGCCCAGTAATGTTTTGATAGTGGTTTTGTATACGTAAACATAATATGCATGTTATGTTTGCATAATGACATTTCAGGAAACCTGAATGTAATCTATTTGAATCTTGTTTGTATTAACATCATGAATGTGTTTTATTCAGGGGAAAACTCAGAGGTAACGGCATGGTATAAATGTGGAAAAAAAAGTATTTTTTAAATAATTTGTAATTTATGAGATCATTAGTTCAAAAATTATATGATCAGAATTGTTCTTCCCACACTACAGTTAATTTGGAGCAGAGCGGTCAAAAATTCAGCCGATTCAAATAACCAATTTTGAGTGTGGCACTCTGGACCTTGGCAAAGCCTGAGAAAAATAAGTTAAACACCCCCTGATTTATAAGGCATAGACCCCATACAGCAGGGCTGCCCAACCCTCTTCCTGGAGATCTACCGTCCTGTAGGGTTTCAGTCCAACCCTAATTTAGCGTATCTGATTCAGCTAGTTAAGGTCTTGTTGAGCAGCTAATAAGTAGAATCAGGTGTGTTAAATTAGGGTTGGACTGAAAACCCACAGGACGGTAGCTCTCCAGGAAGAGGGTTGGGCAGCCCTGCCATACAGAATGTGCTAACTGTAAGCCGCTTTGGATAAAAGTGTCTGATAAATTATATTAAATGAAAATTGCCCCTATATACAGCAGTAGTATAGTAGTAGTTTCCAAAAGGATAGCCCATTTATGTATCAACCACTCATAAAGTGACTCTGTAGCTGTGGAAATATCACGTGGATTTGCTAAACATGGATAGAATGGTTACTGTTCAATGGTTTGGATTGAAACCAAGCAACCACTAATACCTGCTCTTGCAATGTTTTTGTATCATGTACAACAAAGTCAAATTAAATTTCCTATGGAAGTGGTGCTACCAGTGATTTTTACGTATGATAATGGATTATTGCAATAATCATGAAGCATACTGTATTCTCCTCCACTATGCACGCCTGTTAGAGCACAATCCTCAGCCTTGACTACAGTACAGAAACCACTTTGAATAGCCTTAAGGTCATTCCTGTGTAGACAAGCTTTTCATCGTACCAGTTATCATTATAAACTATGAGGTGTATCCTTTCATTTTGTCCATTGACGTCTGTATTAAGTTGGGGGGTAAACTCACTTTTGGAAGCCATTTTGTTTCTAGTAACATTTACTTTCTCTTATCAATGTATTTGATGGAGTAGGTTTAATATGTTCATATCACATTCAGTCAGGTTATCAAGTTCTGCTTCAAGACCACTGCGAAGACATGTTAGAGAATGAGTGGTGCTTTATTTTCTTCACTGTGTTCTTCCCCATTTTGTAATTAAGTATTCAGTCCCCATTTGATATTCCTAAACCCTCTTTTTCATGTTATCAACATCAGATGGGCATTGAAAGACATTTGTTTCAATCAAGTTTGAAGCTGTTCCAACATTTTCCTGACAACACTGGCATTTTGAGATTAAGATTAGTATCAGTCCCAAACCGAAGGTTTGATAGGCAGGCACTGCTTCACTTTGTGTGGGGGTTCAATATTTATACCTGTACCCTGTGAAACTGTTTTGTACAGTCATAAATGTTTGCTTTTTAATGGGTCTTTATTGTAATACTTTTTTAATAAAATTGTTAATTGTGTTCATGTCTTTTCCCCATATTCTAGCAGCTTCATATTGGGTAATGTAGTTAGTGGTGGACACAGGCCAGTAAATAATCACACACTTGCACAACAAGTTGGGAAAACATGGCAAGTATCTGACCACAGAATTAGAATAATAGAATGGACATGAATCTTATGACCGTCTAAAGGTCAGCCATTTTGGTCAGGGAGTTGGTCAACCATGGTTTGCCAGTGCTGTGATAAGATATAATGTAAAATAATGCATTTCAAGAATGTATCTGCACTATGCTTGACAGCTAGCCAGACAGTTTTAGAGGAATGATACCATCAATTTTTCAAATCAACTGCCAATATGCCAACATTCCATTCAAACAATGCAGTTAATCCACAGCCATACACTGGCTCAAATCAGTTGATAGGACTTTTTAGACAAGTTGTAAATGCAACAAGTACTGATATTGCATCATATAATAGCACTCAAAGCTTTCCATGAAAAACATTTAAGACATTTATGGCCATTTACATATTTTAGAGGCTATTTATAGATAAAATAACGGTATAAAACCTGGATAAACTGTATAATATGACTATTTTATACTGAACAAAAAATAAACGCAACATGCAACAATTTCAAAGATTTTGCTGAGTTACAGGAAATCAGTCAATTGAAATAAATAAATTAGGCCCTAATTTATGGATTTCACATGACTGGGCATGGGCATAGACCAGCCCAGCCAATCAGAATGAGTTTTCACCACAAAAGGGCTTTATTACAGACATAAATACTCCTCAGCAGCTCCTTCAAAACATGAGATATCTGTGGCATTGTATTTTAGTGGCCTTTTATTGTCCCCAGCACAAGGTGCACCTGTGTAATGATCATGCTGTTTAATCAGCTTCTTGATATGCCACACTTGTCAGGTGGATGAATTGGCTTGGCAAAGGAGAAACGCTCACTAACAGTAATGTAAACAAATTTGTGCACAAAATTTGAGAGAAATAAGCTTTTTGTGCATCTGGAAAATTTCTGCGATCTTTTATTTCAGCTCATGAAACATGGGACCAACACTTTACATGTCAAGTTTATATTTGTGTTCAGTGTAATATGATCTCTATGTATCGAAGTCGCTCTGGATAGGTCTGCTATATGACCAAAATGTAAATATCAACATTTACTGATTCAAATACAGGTATTCAGCATCCAGGTGCATCTCAATACTGAAGTGGACTTGCTCTGACCCATCCAAGTCTTCAAAGACTAGCTTAAATGAAGGTAAGGAGTGTAGGAAAAGACATGGCAACTATCACATCTGAAAGGCCATAGCTGCTCTAGTCATGGGGGGCCTATAATTAGCCCCACAGTTGTTGAGGGGTTCTCAGCAGCATATCGTTTTCTACTTGTAATGCAACCAGAACAGACTAACAACAACAGTCCCAATGCATCTCCATATTCATACATTTAAAAGTAGTCATGTTACAAAACACACCAGAATACCAAAGGGTAATTTGTTCAACTTTATTGAGAAAAAAAATTAAAGTAACCATTAAATAGCAGAGCTATTAGTTGATCGATCAGCCATCGAGAGCTTTGAATAACGTATTCAGTGCAAAAGCGAGAACAGTGTTGTGATGATCGATTAACTAATGGCTCCCGTTCTAACAAAAGGAAAAGGAGTAACAAAAAAGGTGAAACTTTAAAAAGTGGACACGTTTTCTCTCCTCAACTCTTTTCATTTCATTCTCAGCAGCACATAAACCAATTATTTATCTTATCAACATGCATAAAATGTTTTTTTTTGTCCTTATTTACTGCAGATATAGCTAACTTCAGCAATTCTCCATTCAAACAGTTAAGAGTAAGTGTATAATATTCACAGACCTCAGTTCTCTAATGCTATTGGAAAATCTTACAAAAGTGTGATTGCACCATGTTGATCCTCTCAATACAGAAATGGTGGCATTTGGAGAATCCTTATTCTTTTTAGTTGGCACCTTCTGCGTGAACTTAGAGAAATCAAGAGCTCTTCACAAAGTGGCTGTGGTTGGCTTTATACAGATACATGCTCCATTGAGAGTTCTGAGCAATTAGCAACTTTTGGAAAGAAGGGGGCCATGGAGACATTTTTACTTGTTAAGAGCATGTAAATAAATGTAGGGGGAGGGGGGGGGGACAAAACAAATAAAATTACTGTTATTGGCTGATGGTAAGGGGTTGCGGCCGAATGGGCAAAACAATTACAGTAATTGAAAGTTTATTCCATCTATAACGCAAGTTGTTACGACCATGACAGATTATCACATGGCGTACTTCTGAGTCCATTCCCGGGCTATTCTGTTGTACCTGTGGAGACAGAACAAATAGAAAACAAATCAGCAAAAAATAGACTATCAATACACAATAGACAAGGGGTGTGAAGATCAAGAACAATGCCATGCGTTACAACACAGCAACAGGTTGCCAACTACCCAAGTTGAACTTGAGATGCATGATGTTCACACATAAAACCCCCCATAGTCCCACCAAAATGGCATTCTATAGTCAAACAGTCACAGACAGACAATCAGACAGTGGAAATACTGTCAGAACCAAGCCACCATCCACCGAGGCAGATTTATTTAGAGCGGCCAAATATGTCACAGATGTCTAAAGTTTTGAGGGAGCGTGCAATTGACATGTTGACTGCAGGAATGTAAAACAGAGCTGTTGCCAGATAATTGAATGTTAATTTCTCTACCATAAACTGCCTCCAATGTCGTTTTAGAGAATTTGGCAGTACATCCAACCGGCCTCACAACCACAGGCCACGTGTAACCACGCCAGCCCAGGACCTCCACATCCAGCTTCTTAACCTGTGGGATCGTCTGAGGATGGGGAGTATTTCTGTCTGTATTAAAGCCCTTTTGTGGGGAAAACCTCATTCCGATTGGCTGGGCCTGGCTCCCAAGTGAAATCGTTGCGTTTATATTTTTGTTCAGTATATTATATATATATATATATATATATATATATATATATATATATATATATATATATATATATATATATATATATATATATACACACACACATATATACATACACATATACACACACGCTGAGTGTACAAAACATTAAGAACACCTGCTCTTTATATGACAGACTGTCCAGGTGAATCCAGGTGAAAGCTATGATCCCTCATTGATGTCACTTGTTAAATCCACTTCAAAACAGTATAGATGAAGGGGAGGAGACTGGTTAAAGAAGGATCTTTAAGCATTGAGACATGGATTGTGTGTGTGCCATTCAGAGGGTGAATGGGCAAGACAAAAGATTGAAGTGCCTTTGAACGGGGTATGGTAGTAGGTGCCAGGCGCACCAGTTTGCGTCAAGAACTGCAATGCTGCTGGTGTTTTCCACACTCAACAGTTTCCCGTGTGTATCAAGAATGGTCCACCACCCAAAGGACATCCAGCCAACTTGACAACTGTGGGAAGCATTGGAGTCAACATGGGCCAGCATCCCTGTGGAACGCTTGACACCTTGTAGAGTCCATGCCCTGACAAATTGGGGGGGGGAGCAACCCAATATTAGGAAGGTGTTCCTAATGTTTGGTATATATATATATATATATTTTATGCTCTCTACTTGTCAAGTGTTCCAAAAACGGGACATTTGTATTTTTACCTAAACATGCAAACACCATCAGATAGAATTCTTAGCAAGCAATGCACTGGAATGACATCTAACTGAAAGCCACACCCCTAATATGCCAAGAACATGACTGCATTGAGGCATAAAGCACTGTGCTTCTATGGCTATATGCACCATGCCACTGCCTACTTCATTAGCAAACAAGACAGCTCATAATCCAGTGCCTTTATCACAGTCACACCTATATTTTAACTTTAATTAGCTTTAAAAATGCAAAATTCTCTAAAGCCTCATGGCAAAATGTGTAGAATAGCATGAGATTAGCTATAAAAACGGCAGTTTCCCCTCTACCCCATGGCAAAATGTGTAGAATTGCAGGAAGTTAGCTGTATTGTGTGTTTTATTTGGGCCCACCCACATTTCTGCAGGTCCACCCACAAACGAATTTCTGGCCAAAGCCATCAATCACGTGACACCATTCATTCCTATGAAGACTCAATCACGCATTTGAAGTCAAATAAGTCAGTTATGATGGCGTCTCATGTCGGAGATTTATGTAGACATAACATGCACAGTTTGAGCTACTCCAGGAAGTGACGTTCCAGGCTAGCTCAGTGCTGCCCCCTCATTGAGTATCTCAAGTTGAAGGCCGACCGGGGTACTGCAGGCTGCCATTAGCTACTAAATTATCCTTATAACTTCTGTGTCCGATTTTAATATAATCAAGATATAAATCTGGTGTAGTAGAAGTAATTATTGGTGCCATGATTGTCTTCGAAATGTCTATTTATTTACACGAAGATTGACCAAAGACTGCCATTTTCCCCTTCACTATAATGGGGGAGGGGGGGATCTTGTTTTCTGCAAACAATGCCTGCAGTACCGTGGTCGGCCTTGAACTTCGTGGCTTCAATGAGAGGGGGGAGGAGTCATTCTCCCCTGGTCACAACCCATAAAGCTCCACCACAGACACATACACAGTCCACTCCCTTCACAATGCAGGGCAGTCTTACCCTAAAGCATAGCGTACTTGTCTGTCCATTCTCTCGCTAGTCTATTATACCTGACATGGAAGGAAAAGTCCTATATTATAAAGATCTAACATTACAGGATGTAACTTTCATTTGGCACCTCTCGTGCAAGTCTTGGATCAAAAAGTAGCATCATATTTTTTCACAAATTATTAGAGTATGCAGTTTATGAACAAAATGTGAAAGCTGGAGACAAAGCTGGGTCTACAGTATACTCACTTTTCAGTATCTGTTTTGTAGATACGGGCGATTTCTGGCACTAACGGATCGTCAGGGTTGGGGTCACATAACAGTGAACAAATGGACAAAAGTACTGAAAAGGAGATTGAAAAGAAGTATTAGTAGTGGATCTTAGGCATGTGAATTTAAATGAAGTCACAAGGTAAAAATGTGTATCACAAAGCATGAAAAACATTGGACATCCTACCTTTAGAGATAGTTAATGCTGGAGACCACTGTGATCTCAAAATATCCAGGCAGATGCTACCGTTACTGTTAATATTTGGGTGATAAATTCTTGTGGTGAATGCTAGCTGCAATGAAAAGGTTGGAGCAGCAATCAAACATATGATTATATTGATCAACGGAAACCATACTCCTCAATCTTCTACATACGTCAAGAAAACTATTAATTTTAATAGAACAGAGGAACAGGAGAGGAAATAATTACCTTAGGTGGTTTGAAGGGGTAGTCTGTGGGGAAATGAATAGTCAGGAAAAAAACACCTCCTTGGTATGGACTGTCATTCTGAAAAGAAACAAAAATGTCAAAAGGACACACTGACCAGCCAAAACGCATGCAACTTCAAATTCATCAACGAGCAAACGCTATACAAATTATACTTACAGGCCCCATAATTGTAGCTTGCCAATGAAACACTGCCAAAACAGAAAGGAGATAGTTAGAGGAATGGTTCAGATGTTGAGAATGTTAGCTCTCATAAAAGTGCTTTGTTTGGCCTTACTGTCATCTCCAACGGGGCCAGCGGAACACTGTGCAGGAGGGTCCCTGGCCAGGTCGTTCAGCTCCTGAAAGAAGGGACCAAACCAGGACACCATCAGTCCCACTGTTCCCCTACCAACATGGTTATTGAGTTTCTCATCCCTTCAACTCAACCTATTTAGCTTATCCAGCATAATGGCTGTGGTTGCAAACACGTGTGCATTGTTGCTTCTTTTTAGGACAACTAGAAACAGCAAACTCAGTGATACTGCTACTGCACAGACCTCACCGTTGTATTTCGAAGAGCATTTACATTGTATTTACATTGCTGACGTTGCAAAAAGCACTGCACAGGAAGTACTTCTAAAGGTTAATTAGGGACGGATGAAAAGAGGAATCAATTTTCATAATGAAACAGCACAATGACTAGTCTTGGCCAGTGGTGGAAAAAGTATGCAAATATCATACTTGAGTAAACGTAAAAGATACCTTAATAGAAAATGACTCAAGTAAAAAAGTCACCCAGTAAAATACTACTTGAGTAAAAGTCTAAAAGTATTTGGTTTTAAATATAATTAAGTATCAAAAGTAAATGTAATTTCTAAAATATACTTAAGAATCAAAAGTAAAAGTATAAATCATTTCAAAAGTCCTTATATTATGCAAACCAGATGGCATCATTTTATTTTATTTAGATAGCCAGGGGCACACTCCAACACTCAGACATCATTTACTAACGAAGCATTTGTGTTTAGTGAGTCCGCCAGATCAGAGGCAGTAGGGATGACTAGGGATGTTCTTTTGATAAGTGCGCAAATCGGACCATCTTCCTGTCCTGCTAAGCAGGTACTTTTGGGTGTCAGGGAAAATGTATGAAGTAAAAAGTACATTATTTTCTTTAGGAATGTAGTGGAGTAAAAGTAAAAGTTGTCAAAAATATAAATAGTAAAGTACAGATACCCCAAACAACGACTTAAGTAGTACTTTAAAGTATTTTTACTTAAGTACTTTACACCACTGGTCTTGGCCATAGTGAAAGTGGGCAGTGACTTAGCGTGTTTCTTGTATTGCAGTGATCGAGCATATGGTCTCTTGCAGAGCCCTGCCAGAGCAAACACTCCAGGAAACCAGATCAGGTAAGAACTTCTTGGGCCAATAAATAAAATTATATTTGTCACATGCTTCGTAAACAACAGGTGTAGACTAGTGATGTCACGACAAAATCTGAGTAGCCTAGCGTCCTGTTTGCCCCGTCCCCTTGTTCCCGTTTTCCAAATGTTCTGCGCATGTGCTACGCAAAAACCTGTCACTGAAATTCATGCTTCTACTCAATACAACAAACTTTAACTTCACACTGTTCAGTGTATAATAGAATATACTGCATAGAATTGCTGATTTGCAAAGGCCTACCTGTGTATTTGGCTGGAGGAATGGGAGGAAGGAATATACATGTATAATGATCTACAAGTCATTGTGGCAGTAAGGGAAAACACTGCATGAAACATTCTTTACTCCTCAGTAAACACACACACAGCTCCCAACTTAAAATGTTAGGCACCATACAGAATTCAAGATGCACCAGAAATAGATACATTTTTGATATAGTTTAGGCTTACATTGAAGCACATCTCATGAGTAGCAGACACTTAATTTATTCCTGTGCCAATCAAATTTGCCTAGACCTTCTGTCAAGGCCAATAAACTCCTGGCAGATCAACTAAAACTGGACCCTAAACTCATGGAGATGGAGAAGGCGCATAGGAATGGCCCTTTCTTCCCCGATGGACGGCCCAGATCTATAGTGGTGAAACTGCTCAGGTTCAAAGACAAGGAGGAGATTCTCAGGAGCGCCAAGTGCCTGAAGGGAACCAAAATCTTCATCAATGAAGACTTCTCCAAAAAGGTACGCCTCAAAAGAAAGGAACTGCTGCCACGACTAATTGAAGAACGAAAGAAAGGCAACATCTCATACCTTAAGTATAATCAGCTGGTCGTTCACCCCTCATCTCGTAGCCTATGGCAAGTGACTCAGCTATAGTCCACGGATTTGACACACACACATATTTACTGTACTTTTTCCCATGCGTTTCACCTAACCTCATGACCAAAAACACACATTGCTCTAAATGTCATAACCCTCTGAAGTCTTCAGTGGTGTTGTGGACTGTGTCAATGTGCATTCCATAGGAAGTGCACCCCTACTGATAAAACTAACACAAATGTATGGTTGTATTGTACATGAGGCATGGACTTCTATGTTTCCATTCCACTCTCTGGATGATTCCGACTGTATCACTCTTAGTTAGGCAGGATATCACCCCTGATAACATGATCTTTAACCCATTATATATTAATGAAGCGATCGATAAATATAATGATTGTGTTGATCCAGATTCAAATTTCCTGAAATTTACCAGAAATAAGATCATCACTTGTGATGGCTATTATGTTAAGCAATTTAACAACCCGGATAGCAGTTTATCTAATTCCAAGTCTAGCTTATTTTCTACCTTTCATTTGAATGTCCGCAGTCTTCCTAAAAATCATGACCACCTTGTTCATCATCGGTCTTCTCTCAGTCATGAATTTTCCATTGTTGCCATTTCAGAAATACGGTTGACTGAAGAGACAACCATGCTTTATGACATGTCTCCTCATAATGTTGTTCACCACCGTAGAACCTCAAAAGAGTGGGAGGAGTGGTGTCCATTTTTGTTCATAAACATGTTCAAATTCTTTGTAAGAGAGGACCTCACACTTACATCTGATAACACTGATGTTGAATCTCTTTTCATAGAAATTCCCTCCTGTTCTTTTTTTGGTGGTAAAAAAGTGGTAATTGGATGCATCCATCGGCCACCCGATTCTGACATTGGTAGTTTCATATCATATCCTTGCATCAACCTTGGTTTTGATTAATAATGAAGATAACATCTGTTTTCTATTGGGTGATTACAGCATACATTTATTTAAAAGTGAGAACCACTTACTGACATCTGACTTTTTGAATACTTTATACTCCAGCTCTCTGTATCCCCTCATCTATAACCCCACAAGAGTGACCAGTTCATCTGCCACCCTTACTGATCATATTTTTTACAAATTCCTTGAATAATGTGGCTAATACAGGTATACTTTATACTGACATTTGACCACTTTCCAATTTTCCACTTCTCTTTGGCAGCTGGAAATGAACAGATGGGAACGATTATTAGCATTAAATGTAGAATACTTAAAAGTAATTGTGAGAGATTTAAGTTGTTGATTGAAGATATTTCATGGGAAGATTATTATAATCAGGCAGATGTGGAGTCCGCTTACCAGACTTTTCTCACATCTTTCAACTCTGTATTTCACAACTGCTTCCCTTAGTTTAATCACATAAGAGAGCAGCAGAAGAGTTCTGGTAACCTTGGTTTACAACCGGTCAAAAAATTAAATCAACAAGTTGTATAAAAAGTTTCTCAAATCCCTCTCCCCTGAATTCTGTAAATTATAAAAAGCATAAGAACAAATTTACTCACCTACTTCGGGTATCCCAAAAAATATGTTTTACTTACAAATTCCAAGAAAACTTAAATAATAAAGTCAACTTGGAAAATCAACCAATCAACTGTTGAATAAGAAAAAGCCATCTACAACTATCCATTCTCAAATTATTGTTGGAAATAAGACCTACGCTGATGTTATTTCATGTGAAATTAATAACTTTTTTGTGAATGTGGGTTCCTCTCTGTCAAAGAAAAATTTGAAAACTGATGGAAATCCCTTTCATTACATTAAGGGACATTTCCCTTCTCTGCTGAGGTTTGATCCTCCTGTTGTAATGGAGGTAATTGGTAACTTAAAGATATCAGCAGCAGGTCATGATGAGATTGATGCCTCTTTGGTGAAATAAGTGTCTTCCTCAATCACTGAGCCTCTAAAGTATACAGTTGAAGTCGGAAGTTTACATACACCTTAGCCAAATACATTTAAATTCAGTTTTTCACAATTCCTGACATGTAATCCTAGTAAAACTTCCCTGTCTTAGGTCAGTTAGGATCACCACTGTATTTTAAGAATGTGAAATGTCAGAATAATAGTGGAGAGAATGATTTATTTAAGCTTTTATTTATTTGATCACATTCCCAGTGGGTCAGAAGTTTACATACACTCAATTAGTATTTGGTAGCATTGCCTTTAAATTGTTTAACTTGGGTCAAACATTTCGGGTAGCCTTCCACAAGCTTCCCACAATAAGTTGGGTGAATTTTGGCCCATTCCTCCTGACAGAGCTGGTGTAACGGAGTCAGGTTTGTAGGCCTCCTTGCTCGCACATGCTTTTTCAGTTCTGCCCACAAACTTTCTGTAGGATTGAGGTCAGGGCTTTGTGATGGCCACTCCAATACCTTGACTTTGTTGTCCTTAAGCCATTTTGCCACATCTTTGGAAGTATGCTTGGGGTCATTGTCCATTTGGAAGACCCATTTGCGACCAAGCTTTAACTTCCTGACTGATGTCGCTTCAATATATCCACATACTTTTCCTTCCTCATGATGCCATCTATTTTGTGAAGTGCACCAGTCCCTCCTGCAGCAAAGCACCCCCACAGCATGATCCTGCCACCCCCGTGCTTCACAGTTGGGATGGTGTTCTACGGCTTGCAAGCCACCCCCTTTTTCCTCCAAACATAACGATGGTCATTATGGCCAAACAGTTCTATTTTTGTTTCATCAGACCAGACGACATTTCCCCAAAAAGTATGATCTTTGTCCCTTTGTGCAGTTGCAAACCGTAGTCTGGCTTTTTTATGGCGGTTTTGGAGCAGTGGCTTCTTCCTTGCTGAGCGGCCATTCAGGTTATGTCGATATAGGACTCGTTTTACTGTGGATATAGATACTTTTGTACCGGTTTCTTCCAGCATCTTCACAAGGTCCTTTGCTGTTGTTCTGGGATTGATTTGCACTTTTCGCACCAAAGTACATTCATCTCTAGGAGTCAGAACGCGTCTCCTTTCTGAGCGGTATGACGGCTGCGTGGTCCCATGGTGTTTATACTTGCGTACTATTGTTTGTACAGAAGAATGTGGTACCCTCAGGCGTTTGGAAATTGCTCCCAAGGATGAACCAGACTT